GCAGCCGACAAAAGAAAAAACAAGCAAGCAATAGATTGCTTTACCGCCGCGTCGTGACTGCGGTAGTTCACACCCACCGGCCCATCGTTTCGTAGGTCGACATCCATCATGGCCTGGAAGACGCCGTTTTGTACCCGCTCGGGTTTGTAGGCGGCCTGCATTTTCTGGAAGAAATAGTCGTATAGTCGGCGTGCGGTCTCGACGTCGGCGGCTCCGTTGAAATTGGGTTTGGCCTTTTTCATATCGCCGTAAAGTGTAAATTGTGACACTGCGCATGCATTTAGTTGACCGGCTCGTTCAGGCGCAACATATGCGCTCGAGGAGACCCGGGCGCTTACCACAAAGCACCTCTCCCTCAATCTCCTGCACGTTCTTCTTCCACTGCGTCGAGGTAGCTCGTCAGTACTTGGTTGAATGCCAGCTCCTAGTCGCATGGTCACTCACCTGTCCGCCATTCTCGTCTGCTGGCCACAGCTTGGACCTCAATATGCGTCCGACCATCGTATCCATATCTTTCTCCGTGTCTTCTTTCCCGACGCCCGCCAATACCAATATTCCTCGACCGATCGAGGAGATCAGCTGGCCGTCCACGGTGACCGAGGCGGATTTGACTCGCTGAAGAACCGCTGTTCACACAAATCAGTTCGCGTCTTGGTGGGATTGGGCAGCAGTGATGGCGCACCCTTCATGTTTAACGGTTCAGAAAGGCTTGGGTGTAGTCGCAAAGAGTAATGTCAAAGGAATAATAGCGAAGTGGTTTTAGTGATTAGAATATATAAGCAGGGTTGCGCAATATCGATCGACGTGACTAAGTAGGATCTATACAAAGAACATTAATTAGTTCGCTGTGGGGGAATAACCGCAAGCGGCATATCGCATCGTTCATACAAATGCAAAGACAAATGGTCGGGTCGAACCACGGATATTAACCAGGATGGAGCGAAGTGAATAAAAGTGAACAAGAATGACGATAGCAGGAAAATTTGTGAGAATCGAGCAAAGAGATGGAGAGGCGATGTGAGGTGATGGGGAAAGCTTGAGAGCAGAGCGATTCGCCTCTTGTGACGAGTCCAGAAAGCGGTGTCACGGGTCTTGGCGGTAAACCCGTTTGGGAACTTCGGCGAATCTATCGAAGCGCATCAGGAGGTTCACTCTCTCACTCTCTCGTCATTGTTGTCTCCTTATTCCACCTTGTTTCTGCTTCAAACGAACCACAATTGTTTTCGCTGGAACTTTCCCAGCAACCTGAGTCACACACTATCCCCCCTTTCCCCGGATTCTTACCGACCGGGGGATTCCATTCGATCTCCAACCCTACATTGCTCCCGGCAGCTACTTAACCTCCCCCCACACACACCCTACGACTTTGACGACGCGAAAGACTCGCAAGAACTTGGGCCGACTGTTCCCATGAAACAGCAATCATGACGTCCCGAAAGACACAACAAGAGATCGACAAAACCTTCAAGAAGGTGGCCGAAGGGATCCAACAATTCGAAGGCATCTACGAGAAGATCCGTTCGACAACGAATGCCACGCAACGGGATAAGCTGGAGGAGAACCTGAAACGAGAGATCAAGAAGCTTCAACGGTATCGCGATCAAATCAAATCATGGGCTTCGGGCAATGAAGTCAAGGACAAAGGACCGCTGCTGGAGCAGCGTCGAGCCATCGAAACTGTGCGCTAACGAATTTCCCCTCCTCTCACCAACCCTCACCTCGATATTGACACCATCCATGGAGAATGCGACTAGCTAACGGCGGTGTAGTGTATGGAGCAGTTCAAGGCGGTAGAGAAAGAAATGAAGACCAAGGCATACTCCAAAGAAGGTCTATCCGCCGCTTCGAGACTCGACCCGAAAGAGAAAGAGAAGGTGGAGGCGTGCGACTTCCTGTCCAATATGGTGGATGAGTTGCAACAGAAGATCGAGGCCATGGAAGCAGAGGAAGAAACTCTGCACATGCAAGTAAAGAAAGGCAAGAAAGACGTCTCCAGGACGAATCGGTTAGCGGACCTTACCCGAATCAACGAGCGACACAAGTGGCACGTCAATAAGCTCGAGCTCCTGCTGCGGTCCCTACAGAACGGCGCTATCGAAGTCAACCAGGTGATCGATCTCAAGGAGAGCATAAAATATTACGTGGAAGATGGGCATAACGTGGATTACTCCGGGGAAGACGAGACCCTCTACGACGATCTAATCTTCGGAGACGAAATCGATCCAGCGGCTGCAAACGCCGACAACGACCGGGTCTCGTCACAAGATACGCAATCGGTGCAAGATGATGAGTTGGAACCCAAGCCCAAGCCCAAGAGCAGTAGTGAAGCAACGGGGCCGCGACGACCGTCCGCGCAGATGAAATCGCCGCTGCCCGTGCTCGCGACCCTGCACCCGTCGACCTCTACCAGCGCTACGTCTGGTATGAAGCCTGCGCCACCTCCCACGCGTCTGCCTGGCGAGACGCTCAAGTACGCCTCGGCGGCGGCGGCGGCGGCTGCCAGCGACAAGAACGGCGTCGGGATCGCTCCCCTCCCTCCACCGCCGGGCGCCAGCCCTGCTTTCCCGGTCGCAGTTCCCGCCTCGAAAGCTTCGTCGATCGCCTCACCCAGCGTCTCGTCGGTACAGCCAGCCATCCGAACGACATCCACCCCGGTCCCAACGGCAGACGAGCCCAGCGTACGGTCGAAAACTCCTGCCATCAGTCCTAACATCGCCGCCGCAAATGCCGCCCCCGCCCCTTCGAATACGGTGGCACCCCCTCCCGCGACGGACAAGGCGGAGGTCACGACGACAACGCCGGCCACTCGGGGAGCGTCGACCGTCAACGGAGATTCGAGCAGCAAGGAAGAGAGCGGCGATTCAGTATATCACCTGCCTCCGGGTTTGCAAGACCTGATCCACTCGTTCGAGGTGACCAAGAGCCGAGCGTCGACAACGTCTTCGAATCCGCCGCCGTCCGTCCAACGACTCCTGGCCGCATCACTGTCAACATGCCCCGAGCCGGCGGACGCAGAGAAGCCCCGACATTACAAGCCTCAGAACCCGTACAACACGCCCCTCTACTACCCCCAGGAGCCGCTGTCGATTTTCGACGACCCGCGATTATACGACACGGGGCGCATCGACACGGATACGCTTTTCTACCTGTTTTATTACCGGCAGGGGACGTATCAGCAATTCCTTGCGGCCAAGGCACTGAAGAACCAGAGCTGGCGGTTTCACAAGCAATACCAGACCTGGTTCCAACGACACGAGGAGCCGAAGACCATCACCGAGGAATTTGAGCAGGGGACGTATCGGTTCTTCGACTACGAGAGTACATGGTATGTCATGCCTTTCTCCTCCCTTGAATCACTCCTCATCTGCAATGAGGAGGGGGGAAAGAAGCAAGCTAACGTGACGCAGGATGAACCGACGCAAGGCGGACTTCAAGTTTGTGTACAAGTATCTAGAAGATGAGCTATAATGTGAGAGACTAGGCAACAAGTCAATGCCATTTATGGAGATTCTTATGTATTGATTCGCATCCCCGGGGCGAGAAGAGCAAAAGGCAGAAACAGTAGCGGGACGGAGAGTCATTTGGACAAAGCAAAAAACGAAAACGTCTAGTCCGATCGACCGACCGGATGGCTGACTCCATACAGGGAACATGGTTGAAAAGAGTGTTGTACCTATTCGTTGACCCTTTTCTGTCTTCCTATCTTGTTCCTTGCTCCCTCTCTTCTGCATTTTCTTTTCTTTTTCTCTTCCGTCTTCTTTTTGTTTTGACTTCCATCCAATTTTCACCTGTTTGATCGTTCGAATGCATGTTTCAGGCACGAGGAAATGAAATGGGACCTTGTGGGACAGGGGGGAGGGAGGAGTTTTTTTCTTTTATTTTTTTGTTTTGACTGCGCTGTTCTTACGTGGCGGCTGATGGATATGCAGCCATGTCTTATTGCTCACCCCGTTGGCCTCGACTTTCTTTTTCTTTTTTCTTGTTTTTTTTGTAAGAATGAATGAAAATGAATGGTCGGTCTGTCGGATGATATTTACTTGTCTTCCTGATTTTCTCTCTTTCCTTTTTTTTTTTATGAAAAGTACTGTCTGTAAAACATTTTGATACTGCCAGGTCCTTTTGATGTAAATTTTACCCATCTCACGGAGCATATTCCATTTTATTTCTCATGTGTGAAGAGAAAGTCCAATCTGGGTGGATTGTCAAATGATGAATGACGATGAGGCAGAAGGTTCTAACAGTGTCTTCCATTATTCGAGGTCTAGCAACTGCCAAACAACTATGTCAACACCTCTTCAGTGAATGTATGTCAATAGGGAAGATAAAATTTTACTATAGATGCCCTGTCGACCTAGGATCCACATGGTTCCGTCCGAATGGTCTAGTGGTCATGACGATTGTGTTAGTCCTCCTGATAAATTCCCTCACTATGATTCTCACTAACAAATAACAGCTTACATCAAAGTATCACAATAAATCGCAGGTTCGAACCCTGCTTCGGACAACTTATCTTTTTGTTTTTTGCTCCCTGACAAGCGCCATCGCTAGCTATCCTTGCAGCAATCGTAGAACATATAATTAATGAGAAGGAATGATGATGATGAGCGAGGCATTAATTAGACAGGGCCCAGCCAAGTCCAGGACAATAATCACTCCATTGAATCCAAAGAAACCGGTCCCTCCCAGCCCGACCGGAATTAGATTAACACTAAAACGACCAGGTCACCGGGTTACCTCCTGCCCTGGATCTCGATCAATCATACTGAATCAAGTCTCCCCGTTGCGTTTCTTTCTTTGCTTTTTCTCGTTAACCCTGCCCTGCCTGCCTGCCTGCCTGCCTGCCTCCAGGTTGATTTAGCCCGCTCGCCTCACTGACGAAGGGCAAACCCTGGCATGCGTCATTTTTTTATTTCCCTCACATAACTTTACTCTCTTTGGGGATGGGTTGACGACGACCTTGTTTATCTACCGTCTCGGTAATAATCATCATCAGCGGCATCATGATGATGAATAGATCTTGCAGAGAGGCTGTGCGCTATGGATGGGTAACTGCGGTGGACACTGACGGTGGCACCAGCAGAACCCCAGACGACCCAGACGGTCACCAACTGGGCCGACCGAACGGCCGAACGGCCGACCGACCCGAGGAGAAAGAGAGGAAGAACCCTGAGTTAGTAGGGTACATTGGCTTGGAACTTGGAAAAAGGAAAAATCCACCGACCCGCCAGCCAGCCAGCGCACAGCACCTCACCGGCCTGGGGTCCACCGTACTTTGGGCACTGGGCAGGGACTAAAAAACCACAAGGCTGTCAATTGTCGAATCAGCCCGTCATTCGCTGCGGATCGTTGACGAAACCGGCCGGAAAACGTGCCGAGCGCTGTCTTTGCCAAGCAGTTGGTCGGTCGGACAATTTTTCGTTGTTCTTTTTGTTCTTCCGTCCTTCTAGGGCCAAATCAGCAGGGGGGCTTAGGGGGAATTGGGAATGGTTGCCAACGCACAGGTGGATTGGACGTTGAAAAACTAACCCTGAAGAGCAGCTGGGAGGAGATGGTCAAGGACCAACCGGGGAAGAAGAAGCGAAGGGGGATCATCCCGGGACCTGAACACCTGATCCGTCCGGAGTTGCGTTCCCCAGACTTCAGTGCAGAGTGCCAGAGGGCAGAGATACGAGAGGATGGTCTCCAGGGTGAACACCAAAGTAATGCGACTACACGAATTACGAACCCCTTCCCCCTTATCTCCTCCCCGTCGGAGGTCTCCGAGGGGGGTCCAACCATCGCCCCCTTAGACGATCCACGAATAAGAGAGGTGCACGATCATAAGGCGAACGAGGGTCGAGGACTCGAGAGTCAAGAGTGGGAGTGACTGATCAGATCATCGTTCGAGCCGCAAGTGCAACGGAGTCCCCCTATGACGATGACGAGGGAAGAGGGATCCCCTTCCCGTGTGTGCAGGGACCCCCTGCACCGCTGCCCCAATCACGAGGCGCTAGAAGGGCCGAACGAAGACTAAGAAAGTTCGATGACTTCGATCCCTTTTCTAGCGGCCTTCCTTTTCCTTTTAGTCGGGGATCCGCATCACTTCCACGCCCCTCCCACCACCAATCACCTGTGCCCCGACCGGGGCTGTGCTTCCGGATTGACCTTGACCCTTGGCTGCAATAGTGTTGATTTCCTCTTTGATTTGATTTTATTTCTCAGTATTTTTTATTATTATTCCAGAGATCCGCAGATCTAGCTTTCCTCGTCGCTGCCTGCACGCCATGCTCAGGTGACGGTCGCGGGGAAAGGAAGCACTGCTCACGGCTCAGAAAGTCCGGAGATGTTCGTGTTTGACAGCCAAACCCACAGGGAGCCACTAGTCTAGTTTAGTCTAGGCTGACTTGTGGAGCCTGGAGAAGGCCTGTTAGTCGGCTCTGTTTTCTTTTCTCCTGCATGTGCGACGTAGTCTGCTTGAAGATGGTAGTCCATGCATGCTGTGCTCAACTTATAAAACCCCGTCAGTCCCTCGGTCTTTGACTGCGAAAGAAAATCTTAGGATTTTACGTGACTTCACTCTCTCGGATCCTCGACCAATCTTCTTTTGGAATTGTCTTTCCTTTTGACTTCATCTGACCTGACTTGACTTAACTCGGCTCGACTTGGCTTCTTTCCTTTGTTCTGCCTCGCCCGTCTCTCCTTCGCCCATCATGTTCGCGCAGCAGCAGTATTCAATGGTACACCACCACCACCCCAATTCCCCATGCGCGTATACTCTAATTTAAATCCAATTAAATTGGAACCACGTAAATTATGTTCTAGAAAAAAAAAAATTACTAACGCCCTCCTTCTAGAGCCCCAATCCCCCGTCATGCCCTCCCATGGAACCCTCGTACTCGACCAGCAGCGAAGACTCGATCCAATCGACCATGCCCTTCTACTATGCTAGCTACCCTCCCACTTCCGACTTCGAGCTGCCCTTCCAGCCCACCTCGTCACCGCCATATGCGCCGTCGTATGCGTCCTCCTTCAGCGCATCGTCATACAACTCCCCCGCCTTCAGTACCTGCGATTACACCACTCCCCCACTCGCCTACTCTGCCCAGGCGATGCAAACGAACAATGCCACATACTTTGCGCCCATGCAGTCTCACTGCGTCTGGAGCGCCGCCGCAGCTCCTGTCTCTGCAGCGGTCGCGTCGGCCGGCGCAATGCCGCCCGTGGAGAAGGTTCTGATCACGGATGCCGACGAGGTAGACATGGACCTGGAAACGGACCTCGACCTCGACCTACAACAACAATACCTCATGGACGAGCCCAAGTAAGTTCCCATCGACACCTATCACCTCACCTCCAACGCATCACTAACAAACCCCTCCTCAATAGACCCATGCCCGCACCCACTGTGTCCATGCAAATGCCGATGTCCATCCCCACAGACTTCCACACCAGCCCCAGCGCCTGCTCCAGCCCTATTCCCACCTCCCCCTCCAGCTCCGGCACCAAGCCGTTCTCCTGCGACTGCGGCCGCGCCTTCACGCGCCCGGCCGACCTCAAGCGCCACCAGACCAGCGTCCACAACCCCGTCTTCCAGGACTGTCCGGTGGAGGAGTGTCTGCGCAAAGCCGGCAATGGGTTCCCGCGACGAGACCACCTCATCGAGCACTTGCGGTCGTACCACCATTGGGATGTGCCGAAGCGACGAGCCGTGAGGAAGGGAATGAAGGTTTCGACTTAGCTTCTCTTTCTCTTTATGCTTTATGCTTTATGTTTTACCATGTGTCATGTTGTTTTAGTTTCCTTTGCCTTTCCTTTCTCTTCTTTCTGGGGATGTTGACGTTGATTTGATGTTGGTGCTACGTGCCACGACTTCATGCTTCATGGTTATAATTCATGTGATGTTATGTTTCTTTGACACGAATGATGGGTGGGATGCGGCGTTTGAGAGACGGAGTTGGTTGATTTTATTTGATGCATTTTGTTCTCTTTTCTTTTTCTTTTTCCCCCTTCTCCGGTTGTACAGCACGGTTTTCTCTGCCCTTCTTCCTCTTTCTCTTCCTCTTCCTCTGTTGATGATTGATCCTGGGTAGATCGGAATGGCGTTGTCTATTCCGTTTACTCTACCATTTCATCCAATCGATCCGATTAATCTATTGGACTCATGCGCAATATATCTATGATTATTTTATTATATAATTTCCTTGGTCTTCTTCTATGTTGTTGTTGTTATTTTTATGGTTATCGATGTACATGTACACTGTGTACTCCGTCTATGATATAATCAATCTCAATGATCGACAACTTTCTTTTTTTGTTCCCTGGAAATTAATTACATAATTAATTCATGGATTGACTAACTAACTAACTAACTATCCAAAGAAAAAGTATCGGGTAATCGGGAACGAAAAACGGCGCTAGCGTTAGCACGAAGGCAGTGTGAGGCGGTGTTTGTCCCCCCTGACGTCATGTGGAGAAATAAAAGGATCGGACGGGTCGGGCAGTGACTCCGCGGAGATCAGAGAGGCTAGAAATTCTACGGAGTAGTCTAGCCTAGGCTATGCATAATTCCTGTTAAACTTATGATTACTGTGTATGTCCACTTTGCAAGTACGACCAGGTACGCTAGGTCAGGGAGCTTGATTTGTTACTTCCGTCGCAGGAACCCGATGGATACTGTCGGGTATGGGTTCTGATTGGTCACTTCTGGGACAAGACCAGGGCTGGGATTTGGTTTTTAAGGTAGAGATCGGATCGGATCTCATCTCATCTCTTCCATCTATCTCTCTTGCTCCACTCTCAATCACAATATTGAATTATTGATTGATCAGGTAAGCATATATCCACACTCTCAATATACTCATACAGCGACTTCCTTGGAGCCTTAGGCACTCAATCCACTACCCTAAGTCCAAGAAAAACAAACCCAAATCTAATATCTAAAGTCAGATAACCTACTGTCCATCCAAAATGACACCCCCTTCAATATCTCCCTCCCTCTCCCCATCTCAACATCAACTCCAACGACCATTACAACAACCCCAAGACCCCAAATCCAGCACGACCACCCGCTCCATCCACCGCATAAAATCCCACCCCACCCTATCTCCCTTCCGCCGCCGCATCTACCTCGTCCTACTCTCCATCCCCCGAGGCCGCTGGACCACCTACGCCGCGCTAGCCAGGTACATGGGCAGCACCTCCACTACCACTATCAAACCCAACCCTAAACCCAAGGAAACCTCATCCAAAGGCAGCGCCCGCGCCGTCGGCACCGCGATGCGCACGAATCCGTTCGCTCCTGACGTTCCCTGTCATCGGGTCCTCGCGTCGGACGGCACGTTGGGTGGATACATGGGTGACGGGCCGAGTAGTGGGGGGAGGAATTTGCAGCGGAAGAGAGAGATTTTGGAGGCGGAGGGGGTAAAGTTCGGAGGGGATGGGGATTGGTTGGTCGGAGGGAAGAAGGGGAAAGGACCGAGCGCCCAAGGGGAGTGTTTTGTTGATTTTGTGGGGTGATTTTTTATCCTCTTTTTTTGGGGGGGGGGTGGATGAGTTGGGTTTCTTGGGCTGGGTGGTATGTAGATTAATTCGGGTTTGTGGAAGTCTTTTGATGGAGTTCTGGTTATATTTATGTTTATTTTGGTTGGATCTAATTCTAGGTGCAATAGGTACAGTTCCTGATCTACATATGGACCTGATACCATACCGAGCCAAATGCCTACCCAAAGACTAATACCCAGTCCTCCACAGTCCCGCATAGGTATCCTATGCTACCTAGCAGGAACAGCAACCTCCTCATGCACCATCCCCACCTCCGCATCCAAGACACTATTCTTGCGACTCGCCGCATCCACAAACCCCGGGTTCTCCGCCTTCAGGCGCGCAAAGGTGCGCTCCGCATCCCACACCCACGGCGTCTCCGCCGCGAACAGCAGGTCCATGTCTTCCAGCGTGCGCTGGTTGCTTTCGGGATAGAGTGCCCACACCATCGGGATGGTGATCACGTTGCTGGCGGCGAAGACGTAGAGGGTTTTTTCGCCGATGGACTCGAACATCACCGGGCAGAGGAGGGTCTGTATATTTCAGTGGGTTAGTTGGGTTCGGTGTATAGTTCATAAGTTTGATGAGAAGGGGGGACGTACCAGCCATCCGTTACCGATACTCCAGCCTACCACGCCCCAGGCGTTGCCGCGTGCCCGTACAGCCAAGGGATAGATTTCCGCTGGATAGATCCAGGGTACTGTGTATTCTCGTTAGAGTTGAGGTCCTGTTTGTGTCCATTTGATGGGTGAGGCTCCTACCTGTTAACCATGTAGCCCCGAATACCGAGGTGAAGATGAACACCATTGAGGCTGCCGCCGCGCCGAACGAGTCCGCGCGAGGGGTATTCCCTGCGTTTCGCGCGTTGATGGCCAGTCGTGAGAATCCTCCTGCCAGGAACATGGCGATGCCTTGCGCCGTAGAACCCCAGTAGAGCGTCCAGCGACGGCCGATGCGATCGAGCGTGAAGACGCAGATGAGAGTGGCGAACTGTCTCGTCAGCTTTACATACACACAGAAGAGTACCTAGAAATCCAGGGGAACGCACCATGTAGAACACGTTATTCAATCCACTAATCCATTGACTCTTCATCGAATCGAACCCCGCAATACTGAAGATCGTCGGCGCATCTGTTCCCATCATGTCAGGATTGCCTCAAGGCATATAGCACGCTACCTCGATCCCACTTACAAACAGTCACTCCAGCAATCCCAACCCACTCCTGCATGATCTGCAACCAAACGACCAGCTGCACCCGACGGCCGAGATGCAGTTTACCCGTCTTATACCCGAACAACATCGCCAGGTAGGACGTGCTATGGTTCATCGAGCGTTCCATCTCGGCGACGCTCTGAATATCCCGGAATTCGGCCTCCGCGCGAACGACATCCTCGTCGCTGCTCCCGCGCAGTCGACCGAGAATATACCGTGCTTCTTGCTCGCGACCGACCTTGACGAGCCACCGGGGCGATTCGGGGAAGAACCACACAACCACAAAAAGCAAGATAAGGAAGATGATCTGGAAAGCGATGGGGAATCGCCATCGGAAGGGGGAATTGCCGTTATCGATGAACGAGAGACCACTGCGAGTGTACTGTCAGAATTGTATCCTCTCATCGGACCAAAATCAGTCCTGCACCTACAATTCCAGCCAGTACGCCAACACGACGCCAAAAATGTTCAAGGTGAATTCAATCGCAATGAATTGCCCCCGGGAGGTATGTTCGGCCGTCTCGGTCGCCCACACAGGCACGATGGCGTTTAGGATCCCCGTTCCAATTCCATTGATGAATCGAGCTAGACGTGCATTCTTCTCATCAGCCAACCATTCCACTTGTCCATCCATCCATCCATCCGTCAGGGCCTAGATAGGGAAACACCCACAGCAAATCATCCAATTATGATTCTGCGCCGAACACTGCAACGCAGCCCCCAGCGTCGCCCACACCGCACCCGCCGCGATGGTCCTGATTCTCCCCACGCGATCCCCGGTCCAGCCCCCCAGGAAGGCGCCACACAGCGTGCCCAGATAATACACCGACACGATGCCCCCTTGCAGCAGACTATTCGTGACGACGGGGGACGGGTGTCCGTCCACCATCTCGGTGTAGCCAAACCCCATCAGCTCGATGTAGTCTTTGGAGTTGTTCACGCCGGCCATCATGCCCTGGTCATAGCCGAAGAAGAGGATTGAGAGTGCCGCGACGCTGTTGATGCCGATCAGGAGCTTCTTTTTCTCGAGTTTGTGGACCACGTTCCATTTTGGGATTTGGTCGCACATGGCGATGGTGGGAGGGTTGCGCTGCGCGGAGCAGGGCAGGGCAGGGCAATGGGTCAGCAGCTATAGGTAAATGAGAAGAAAGAGTAAAAGTGCCTTACGACCCTGTCGACAAAATCAGGGCCCTGCTATCCTTATATCCACCCCCACCTCTTCCTCTCCCCGGACGCCGACGTCGAGTAAATGACCGAAAATGGACAGGACCGAGAACGCGGAGAAATTGGGGGGTGGCTTTCGTGGGGTGGAAGTTATTACATGAGACTGGATACTAGACTCTAGACTCTACTCAAGGGGTAACATCGGCCCATGGCCGACTTGGCTGGGAAGTGGGCACACGATGATCGGCCCAGGCCGAGGCTGCATACTCCGTACACCGTATAGTTCATTAGTTCTGGACCGGGCCCGCGGGGTATGAATTCCCTCCGAGCTATGTGTCCAAGACTCCAGAACGGCATCTTGCAGGTTCCTGTTGGGTGCGACTGGATTCCGATCAAGTATCAGGTTATGAGTGCAGAAGGCAGGGTGACTCACGCGGGGGAACATCGTGAAGCATCGCATCGGGCAGCCCCACGTTGGTCGAATATGGTTACATTCCGGGTGGGAGGATTCGGGAAAAGTTGGATCTGCAGTCGGTCTTCTTCGGGAAGTCGTCATAATGTGGGGGTACACCTTTTCCTGCAGTTATAAATTATTATAGACCTGATAGATAGGATTTAGCTTGCTATATCATCTGAAATGTTAGAGCAACCTGTCGGTTCGTGAAAAGATAAGTTCAAAGTAGCGTTGGTAGGTCTAGCGAGAGGAGGTGCGGAAGTATATTTCTGTGGAGCGGATGCCCTTTCCGACACTATACAGGAGAAGAAGACAGGAACGAGACGAGACGAACATAGCCAGCCCTACCATTCTTCCAAGACATTTCAATCCAGAAGATCAGAGAAAGAAGAAAGTGCGCTATTACGGGGAAGATGAAGGGATGCGTCCTGCAGTATCTGGGTCAGCCATCCCAGGCTTTCCTTCTTCTTCCTCTCGTTGTGCATTAGCCTTGGCCTTACCAGCGCCGGCATGGCTAACGAGATTTGCACTTGGACTGTCTCGAATCTGATGATAATTGCAATTTCCGCGTGAGAAGAAATCTAAGAGACCCGCATGAAGAAGTGAATTATGTTGGTTTTCTGCAAGGAGAAAACCAAAAAGCCAAATGAAATGTCAGTCAGTAGCGATATTGGCTGGCTGGGTGTATGCGGTCATACTCACTTCATATCTGTGAGTCACTTTACCTCGCTGCCTATTTGGAAGACTTCCGCAATTGTCCGCACTACCAACACTCACTACGTCTCATCAATAATCTATGTCCTGTCTTGTCCACCTAGTATCTATCGCGAAGATGAATCAAGAAGGACCGCATAGTATTTTTCTAATTACAGAACTGCTAGAGCAAATTCTCTTATCGACTGATATAGGCACTTTGCTCGTATCTGCTCAGCGAGTATGCCACCACTGGCATGAGCTAACCTAGGCCTCCAGCGCTCCCCAAAGAACCCCCCCCCCCTTTTTTTTTTTTTTTTTTAGCCAGTGATGGAGGGGCCCCATAACAGCAAGAAACGCATTCGAAACCCACTCTTGGAGAGACACCTGTGGCCTCAACTACTGAAGAGAACGGGCCCTAGTCCTTACATGTGCAAGGTTTACTCTGTAGATGAAGAGATATTTCGACGCGAAGAGGCCAGCTGGAGATGGATGTTGATCCAAGAGCCCCCAATATCTTCCTTTGGAGTCATTGAGTTGTGTCCTGGATTTGTCGTCGACCGCCGCAGGCCTACATTTACCCGAATCAATTTCATCCCACAACGCGATGGGGCCGTAATATGGCATTTGTATTGGACAGTGAAAACCTTCGCTATGAGACCTCAGGAGGAGAGTTGGATATTCGATCTCGGCCCAGGTCACGACAAAAGGATGTGGGAACCTTTCAAGAGGACATTAGTATCCAAATATCTTGCGTCCTCGATAGCTTCAATTTAATCATCGTTCGACTCTCATAGAACTACTTCCTTTAATAAATTGCCCTAGTAAAATATTGGAACCATTTTCTAGCGGTCTTTATGGAGCTACGCTAGTTGGGAATTTTCAGGTTACATGATGGTAGAATGACGACGACCTGATATCCTGTAGCACCCGGGCAAAAAAAGAAAGAAGGAAGGAAAGAAAGAAAGAAAGAAAGCAGCAGCACTGACAGCTGCCGTGAGCTCGGCATATCAATTACTCCAGCGAAGACTGGGTAGATTAAGAAACACAGTTGTATTATATGAAAGGTATCAACTTTTGGAGCTGCTCGTGAACTAGTCTCTCTCTCTAGAGTCCTCTTATCAAAGACGATCATTCTGTAGATTCTCATTAGTTACACTGGTGACAAAGGAATGATATGTTCTTAATGAGCACCATCACTTTCCCAAACGATGCGGTCCTACCTTTTCTACTGCTTTCCCTCTTTTTCCCTCTTCTCTCAGACATTCTCTCTTCTGCAATAGTGGATTCACCTCTCCCCTCCTTTCAACAGAAGCAGACTGCCCATTCAACACAGTTCGTCACTATGTCTTCTTCCCCTATCAGAGGCCAGTTAAGAAAGATCCGCCACAAACGCCTGTCAGACATGGCCAAGCTGACTCACAAATGGGATTTATTCTAAGTGGATAAATGTCTTGCACTAATGGGTAAAGAGAACGTGACAGAGAAGGAGCGTCAAGAGACTGATCGCGCTGCGAAAGCCGTGGTTCCGGCTCTGGTTCCGGCGACAAATGCATTTGGAGCTGGCACCAAGACGATCTTCAGGACGCCTTTCACCTGAAGGAAGATGCGGATTATGACTGGGTATCGAGCCAAGACCCTGATTATATCAACACGGCATTGCTTGGTAAGTTTAATCTGTGCTTTAACTATTGAAGGACGCTAATGAATCTTGGGGCAGATGAGGTCCTATACTGTACAGATAAAGTTCTTGGAAGCTCGGACAAGAGTGAGGCTGTGTCGAATCCGACTAGACAGCATGCTTGTCTTGACCCTGGCCCAAGTTTACGATGAATTCGGAGAAACATTTGCTCATCGTCGAAGCGAGGAAGCAGCTGCAATGGCGGAGGACCAGCTTCTCACATACATGTCTAAGTGAACCCAGCCAGTCCTTCTCCCATACACCTGATATCAGATATCTTGATACATTCCCTAGCGGTGGTTCGGACGCTGAGCCGAGTCCAGTCGAATGATCGTAAACGGGCTTGCGACGGACTCCAGAGAAACGGCCCCGATGGCAAGGTAAGGGCATCTCCTTCCTATGCTTGCAGCGCTAATGTTTCAAAGTACTCATCTCATCTACTCTAATGGAGCCACAGCGAGAGGGAAAAGAAGGAAATCCTGCCGTGGCAGTTCATCATCCTACAACTTATGAATTGTAGTACCTAGAGACCAAGGAGAGTGTTAGGGGCAACCCGTAATCAAGTTCATGCAGACCTAAGGTTTCCCCCTACTCGTAATGTAAGCGTATGTTCATAAAAGTATATCGCAACAGCCAACGAAGACCGCTAGTGCGAGTGTCAACTCTTTTTCTCAGTCTTTTTCTCTTCTTTCATCTCTCTCTTTCATCCTCTCTTTCTTCCTCTCTCACTCAACTGTCCCGGGAGTGAGGCTTTCTCACGGAGATCTTTGGCGGTTTCACAGCATACTCCTTGTGGGTGTTGATCAACACGGCATATTGTGTCTAATGATATTGACCGCACGTTGTGACCTCTCTGATTATTGATCATATTTGTTTCAGTCCGGTCATAGTGATCTGGCGGGGAAGGGCAGCCGACCAACGGAATGCCCAGGAAGCAGCTCCGACGATAGCCACGGCTGGTATTACGTCAAGGCCAACGTTACCCGCGGATACCGAAAGACGGTGAGTCTGGGCCTTGGGGTTCAGCGATGGTCCCTACGCGGACTGGGAGCGAGGGGAATCATGATGGCCAGTCCATGCCTGCCGCACGTCCCCGGCCATGGAGGAGGGTCGCGGATTACCCTTTTGGTTGAGGATGAGGTATTTCCCCTTCCGACGAGAATGAACGGTCCACTCGGCTGACAAAGCGGACTCAGCAGTAACTAACTAGTTATTGTCAATACCGGTAACGATGGTCGGAGATGCGGCTCAGCGCTGCCAGATCGGAGAATGGTCTGCAGGAGATCCGCGAGCAGGACAGAGAGCTGTATTGTGTCCCTCGACTCCCCGGACCGCAGTCAACAAGTCGGCAGGAGGGACAGACATAAGGGAAACAAGGGCAAGGAACAGATAGGAAAGGGCAGGAAAGGAGAGATCGCGATAGCCGAGTTGACCCGACGCTATACCGCTGAGGTAATCGGTACCGGGGCGGAATACGGTAAGGATACCGGGCCGGCAGCTTTTGCTGGCAAACCTCAAGAAAGCTTTCTCGTCCCAACTTCCCTTCTTCTTCCCTTATACTGCTCCAGCTCTTATCCACTGATACCCTCCATTGCTGCATCCCCTCCCCTCCTTGATTGTCTGATTCGGGGGTTTGCTTGTCTGATCTACTTCTACTACCTTATCTCTTCTTTTTTCTCCCCTCGTGTGCTTTTCATCATGTTCCGGACTCTTCTGCCCCGGGCTACGCCGCGGGCTGCCCTCCGCACTGCTCGCACCCCCTCTAACTTCGTCGCTGCCCCTACTCTCGCTTTCCTCGGACGCTCGAAACGTGGCTACGCCTCGGAATCGGGTACGTGATCCCCTCGCCCGTCGCTAATGTCCTCGGACGCACCCGGGCGTCGCGCCCTTCTCCCTCGGAACCTGAGCCGTTGCTAATCCATAGGTGGTTTTGTGCGATAGGTGAGCACGATGTTGTTATCATTGGTGGTGGTGTCGCTGGTTACGTTGCTGCCATCAAGGCTGGTCAGGAAGGCCTGAAGGTGCGCTCTCAATTCCGCTTCCCCCCGGCGTGGCCAGGATTTTCGTTTGAATCATTATTTTTGGGGCGACTAACAAATTTCTTTCGGTCATCAACAGACTGCCTGTATCGAGAAGCGTGGCCGCCTCGGAGGCACCTGCTTGAACGTCGGCTGTATCCCCTCGAAATCTCTGCTCAACAACTCGCATCTCTACCACCAGGTCCTCCACGACACGAAAAAGCGCGGTATCGAGGTCGGTGATGTCAAGTTGAACCTCGAGCAGATGATGAAGGCCAAGGACACCTCCGTCGACGGTCTCACCAAGGGTATCGAGTTCCTGTTCAAGAAGAACAACGTCGACTACGTCAAGGGTACCGGTGCGCTGGTCGACCAGAACACCGTCAAGGTCAACCTGCTCGAGGGTGGTGAGCAGACCCTCCGCGGAAAGAACATCCTCATTGCCACCGGTTCTGAGGCCACTCCTTTTCCCGGCCTGAACATCGACGAGAAGCGCATCATCACCAGCACCGGCGCTCTCTCTCTGCAGGAGGTCCCCAAGAAGATGGTTGTCATCGGTGGTGGTATCATCGGTCTGGAGATGGTAAGTTTGCCCTTTTTGGACAAGTGCTATGAAGATAGCCGCGACAATCGATACGGATCACTAATTGGGTTTAACAGGCTTCCGTTTGGTCGCGTCTCGGATCCGAAGTCACCGTCGTCGAATTCTTGAACCAGATCGGTGGTCCTGGTATGGATGCCGACATCGCCAAGCAGGCCCAGAAGATCCTCGGCAAGCAGGGCATCAAGTTCAAGACCGGCACCAAGGTTACCAAGGGTGACGACAGCGGCGCTACCGTCAGCCTCAGCGTTGAGTCCGCCAAGGGCGGCAAGGAGGAGACCCTCGACGCCGACGTCGTCCTGGTCGCTATCGGTCGCCGTCCCTTCACCGAGGGTCTGGGCCTGGAGAACGTTGGAATCGAGAAGGACGACCGGGGCCGTTTGGTGATCGACCAGGAGTACCGCACCAAGGTCTCCAACATCCGTGTGATCGGTGACTGCACTTTCGGACCCATGCTGGCCCACAAGGCTGAGGAGGAGGCCGTTGCCGCCGTCGAGTACATCAAGAAGGGCTACGGCCACGTCAACTACGCCTGCATCCCCAGCGTCATGTACACCCACCCCGAAGTCGCCTGGGTTGGCCAGAACGAGGCCGAGGTCAAGGCTTCCGGCGTCAAGTACCGCGTCGGTACCTTCCCCTTCAGCGCCAACTCTCGTGCCAAGACCAACCTCGACACTGAGGGTCAGGTCAAGTTCATCGCCGATGCCGAGACCGACCGCATTCTCGGTGTGCACATCATCGGCCCCAACGCCGGTGAGATGATCGCCGAGGCCACCCTTGCTGTTGAGTACGGTGCCTCTTGCGAGGACGTCGCCCGGACGTGCCACGCTCACCCCACTCTGTCCGAGGCCTTCAAGGAGGCCGCCATGGCCACCTACTCCAAGGCCATTCACTTCTAAGCACCTTCACCTCCTTTCTGTTTCCCTCCGATCCTCTGTACCCTTCTATCTCTCTCGACCCTTTAGTCTAGCCTCGCTAGTAAACCTTGTAGCATTTTCGATGTTTTGCCGCCCCATATTTTCCTCTGTTGGTTCTGAACTTTTTTTCTGTACTGAGAATTATGAATAAAAGATAGCTTATAATTCATATTCCAGGAAAAGACCCCAATGAGGAATATTGTACCATCAGACTTCTTTTTTATTCTCGTGCATTGCAGTCTCTTTATCAAGCTGACAACGTAATCCTCCGATCCAGATAGAGTAACAAACTAACTAGACTTGTGCAATTTCCCTTATTTTGTTTCACTCTCCCTGCTTTTCGTCCTTCCCTTTTTGGTCTTTTTTTCGTGTGCAAAAAAGTGAAACTAATCAAAGTAAACCCGAAAACATAAAATAAAGTATCCCAACATTCATTCTCCCAACCTAAACAATTCAAGACAATTTCTCTAGCACGCTGACCTGCCCCAGATTCCATATCCCTAGACGCTTGAAAGCTCATCAAAACCATCATCAATCATACAAACAACTTCTATTCCTCCTACGGCCCTGGTCCATCACAATAAGCGGCGCAGTCGGGCCGTACATCGGATGCCTATGAGCGTGAACATGAGACTTTTGTCAAGGCCGATGAGGGGGTGAGAAATCTGCGCAAGGGGGACGATACCTGTTACATTCGTGATCGTGGTCATATTCACGATCATCGCGACCACGGCTACGTCTCCGAGCAGGAGTAGGTGGCCGATAGGGGGGACTCCGAGCGCGGTGGTGGTGATGGTGGATTTCCTGTCGTTGGGTTTGCTCTTGGTTTTGGCCTTGGGTTTGGATTTGGATCTGCGCTGGGGCTTTGTGGTGGTGGTCACGATCTCGATCGCGGTCACGGTGGTCGTGATGGCCACGTCGACGGCTATGGCTAGGTCGTCGACGGATGCCTTGGCTTTGGTACTGGTATCCTTGGCCTTGGGCGGCTACTTGCCTGCAGCAAACGCAGCAACTATTGTGGTTGCCGTCGCTGTCGCTGTCGCTGTCGTGGTGGGGTCCTCGGGAGGGAGTCCGTCGGTCATCGCGTCTGCGGCGAGACCGTCCTCGACGACATGGATGGGGGCTATCGTTGCGGCCACGTTCGAACGCGACACGAGCGGGTCGATGCGGGGGCCCATTTTGTTGCCGGAACCAGCAAAAGCAGGTGTCGTCTCCATCCTCGTGGCGGGGGTCATACTGGGGTGGTGGGGGTTGGTAGATTGGTGGCCGTGGTGGTCTAGGGGTTTGTCATTCAGCATGGGTCAGTAATAAAATAAAGAAGATTGGACAGGTACGTAGGCTGCTCATAATACCGGGGCCGATTGCGGGGTCTGCCAACAGGGGGAGGATAGGCAGGGTCATCATTGAAGTTGTCACCGTAGTCAATATGAACGGCGGCATTTTGGACGTAGCCAGGGTTGGAATAGTGGTGGATGTGATGATGTCTGCTCATCTTGACAAGAAACGAAGCTGATATGCAAGGAATGAACTTGGGGTAGAAAGGACAATGAATCAGAGTGGTAAGATGGAGGAAAAAGGGAAAGAGAAAAACACAGAAGATGCTACAGGTTTATATGTCTTCAGGAGACCAAATATTCAAAGCAAAGAAAGCAAACTGTTCATGATCTTGACGGTAGCCGTAACATTGGTATCCAATAGATTTGATCGTTGCTTCTAAGGGTTGTAAATGCTGTGCAACATACTGATGTTGTTTGCTCTCCATAGTACCATCATCCTTGCCTGACATCTAGACGTCAATATGAGAAAGGTTGCTCTGACTGAGGGCAGAAGATCTCCACTTTGACTTTTCTTTATAGGATAGATGACACAGTAGCGTCGGACAGTCATAGAAACTGGCCCGTGATTTCCTCTCTGGCCGCGTCCTGATAGGATAACAGACGCAATGGCACCCTGGGAACCCGCATCTATGACCGTCTAGCCCTTACTCTGGAACCGTGTATACATGTCCAGAGGAGGTGGGCAGCTGTTTGCTATATGTCATTGACGGGGCAGAAGGCTGGATCCATTCCTTCAACACGGCCAGGAAAGTATCACAAACAGCAGCCGTGGCCTGTTCGCGAGATGCACCGCAGCTTTCAATGTACACTGTTTACGGAAGCAATGGTCAGCCAGAAGACAAAGAAACTATCAAAACTTCAACTTACCCTTTACTTTGGGCTCTGTGCCTGAGGCTCGGATGGTGAACCGGATATCCCGATCAAGCCACAAGGTCAACATATGACTGGAACTGTCCACAGGCAGCGTCGGTTTGTTGTCTTGGGTCCCCGAATCGTAGCCTTCCGTCATATCTCGCCATCTCAATATCTTAAATGACCCTAGAGATTTCTCGGACTGGTAGGGCCCGCCCCTGATGGCTTTGAACAAGCTAGCCGTCGTAGCTGGATTGGGAGATCGGAAATAGGTGTTGAGAGTCTCGAAGTGACCAAACTCCTTGAAGAGTTGCTGTAATTTTGTGTAGGGCGTGAGCCCCTGGGATCTCCATTTTGCCTCCGCTGACAGGAAGACCATTGCGGCAGTAATGCCATCCTTGTCGTAGCAGACCTCCGAAAACATGTAGCCAAGGGCTTCTTCAAAGGCATACGGAACGTAGTATCCTTCGTCCTCAAGCTTCCGCGAGATATTACCCATCCATTTGAAGCCCGTCAATGATTCCTGGAAACGTATACCTTTGGCTGCTGCCATTTTCTCCAGCATGCCCGTGGAGACTGTGGAGTTCAGGACGGCAATACGGGACTTATCCTCTCGGCCCTCCAGAGACTCAAAGAGATGAGATGCCAGGAGTACTCCGACATGATTTCCCGTGAAAGGGAACCAAGAACCACTGGTGCCACACAAGCAATCAGCAACATATTACAGGGGAAATCAGATAATAATGACCCACTTGACTTTCTCAGCTGCCGCAAACCGGTCCGCATCTGGATCATGGGCAACAATGAGAGATTTCCCCTCCTTATAGGCCGTTTGCATGGCAAGGTCCAAGGCCCCAGCTTCTTCGGGATTTGGGAATGATACGGTGGGGAAGTCTGGATCGGGCTGAATCTGTTCTGCTACGGGGGAGAGATTGTTGATTCCCACAGACTGACACAGATCCGGGAAAACCAAGCCACCAACCCCGTGCAACGGAGTATACACAAAAGGGCTCGGAGGTCCCCATTCGGTTACGGTGGATTTCTACGATGGATGTGTCAGCGAAAAGAACCAGATGGACTAATCGGTACTCACAGCATAATTCCAGACTTTCTTTGTATATTCTGGCAGGATCCTCTGGTACGCATCAGTGTGGAGATATTCGCTGGGTTGCTGTTCCTTCCAGGCACCAGCCCAAGGGACCAAATTTTCTTCGATTGATTGGGCGATTTCTACATCCATGGGGGTGTTGATCTGAGCCCCATTCTTGAAATAGCTAGGTGATGTCAGTTAAACTTCAGCTGAATTAGACAAGGACACCAACACTTTGTAGCCTGTAGAGAGCATCAGCCGTTAGCGGTAACTTGGGAGCCTGCAATATGGAAGATTCCTACCGTTATCCTGGGCTGGGTTCTACGAAATGGTTAGTCACTATGTTGGAATCAAAGTGCTTACAGAAGACCTACGTGACTTGCAGTGATCATAATTCCTGCTGCTGCATGCAAGTGTGTTACACCAAAGGGGACCGATGGTGTCACCGAAGGCTGGGGGTAGAACCAAACGGGGATCTCTAGAGCAATGAAAGCATTCGCCGCCAGAGCAGCGAATTTGGCCGAGTTGTACCGAGCATCATGGCCAATGACCACACCGCCAGATGCAACGTCGGCATGTTTGTCTTTCAGATATCTGGCTAGACCCTGGGATGCCTGGATAACCGTCAAAGAATTCATGCACGAGAATCCTGCTGCCATCCGGCCCCGGAGGCCGGCCGTTCCGAATTGGATGCCTGTGGCACTTGGTCAGAAAGAGAAAGTTTGCTTCCATTAGACGTTTACAAGGTATAGACAGAGGTTGGGAGAGTGAGAATAGTATCCCCCCTCAAAGTGGGTACGAATCAGGATCCAGGCACGAACATACGAGCTTGAAGGCGTAGTTTTAGGTCCTTGACAGCTCCAGTATCTCGCAGCTGCTCAATTTCCGCACGCGTGGCAGGATCCTGGGCCCGGGCATTAGCACAATCATGAAACCCCTGGGACACCAATGATGGGTCAATAGAATCATATTACTTGGTCCCACTCCAGCCATTTTTGGATCAACGGCGACAGCGAATCCTACGCAAGGGAATTAACGAGCATAAACGAGGCGGTCAGAGTCACAAGGGAACTACCTCGGTTGCGACGGCAGACATGATTGGAGAGGATCCAGCAAGACTCCAGCAATAATCGCGAGTGGGCAAAGGGCAATAAAAATAGAAGAATAAGAATAGGATCCAGAGACGGCGGGAGAAGTGGGAAAGAGGAAGGAAAGTGGAATGATCGTCAGCGTTGACCGTTTCCACTTCCGTCTCCGCCTTGCGACCTCAGGCAACCGTCGTTCTTCCGTTTCTCCCGCTTCCTCTTCTTCCCTCTGCTTTTACTTCCTCTCTTGTACTACGTTCTTTTATCCTTTTCTCACCTTTGATTCTGTCTTTTACTTGTCTTGTTTTTGTCCCTCTCTTCTGTCCAAGATGGCCTCTGCCGTCACTAAGCCGTCGACCGCTCGCAAAGAGACGATCCTATCGCGACGATACATTGAAGGCCAGATTGCAGAGGGCAAGCATATGATCATCTACGATGACCGCGTGCTAAAAGTGGACTCATGGCTTCCTTTTCACCCCGGAGGTGAGAAGACCATCAAGCATATGGTCGGAAGGGATGCCACGGATGAGATGAATGTGTATGTTTAACACTCCGCGCTACCTTGTGTGATTACGCGGACTCCGACGGCCGTGAACATCCTCGGGTTGCTGACTCGCCTCGCCTTATGCAGACTACACGGAGAAGATACGCGCCGACAAATGCTGAAATATCAAGTCGGTCGCATCAACGGACCATGGTTGAACTTCCTTCCTCCGATCCATGGCGGAAAGTTCCGTCCCTATGTTGAGGAGTCGTGTTCGACAGACGAAGAGAGCTCCGGCCTGGAAACTTCGATGCCTCCCTCCCCAATCTTCGATGCTGTCGATGGAAAGGCGCGCCGCCGGAATACGTCCGCCACAACGAATTCCTCGGTCTCGACCCCTCCGAATGAAGAAAATGAATCGAAGCCCTTCTTCCTAGACGCACGAACTCGAGAGGAGATCGTATTCGACACTGCCAAATATCCCTCTCTCGACCGGGAAAATCAGGATTCGATCAGGCAGAAATACCGGGAATTAAACGATAGGATGTACGCGGAAGGTCTATTCCAATGCAACTATTTCTCGTACTTCGTCGAATGCTGTCGCTACACGCTTTTCGCAACCTTGGCCTATGTCCTTTTGCGCTGGGAATGGTACGCAAGCTCGGCATTCTTCCTGGGGTGTCTCTGGCACCAGCTAGTCTTCACTGCTCATGATGCTGGTCATATGGGCATCACCCACAATTTCCACGTGGATACTACGATTGGGATGATCATCGCCGACTGGATTGGGGGTCTCAGCCTGGGTTGGTGGAAGCGCAGTCACAATGTCCATCACATCGTGACGAACGAGCCTGAGCATGATCCTGACATTGAGCATATGCCTTTCTTCGCGGTGTCGCATCGTTTCTTCGACAGCCTTCGCAGCACTTATTATGATCGAGTCATGAAGTTTGATGCCGTGTCCAAGGTGATGCTGAGATACCAGAACTACCTCTACTACCCCATTCTGATGCTTGCTCGATTCAACCTCTACCGTCTGAGCTGGGAGTATCTGCTCACCGGCCAGGCTCCCAAGAGGGGCCCTGCTTGGTGGCACCGCTGGTTCGAGTTTGCCGGTCAGATCTTCTTCTGGTATTGGTTTGGCTATGGTGTCCTCTATTGCACCCTCCCAAACTGGAGTACCCGCCTGACCTACCTCATGGTTTCCCATGTCGTCACGTCTCCGTTGCACCTGCAGATCACGCTTTCCCATTTCGCCATGTCTACGGCCGACATGGGTCTCAGCGAATCTTTCCCCCAGAAGATGCTGCGCACCACCATGGATGTGGATTGCCCAACCTGGCTCGATTTCTTCCACGGAGGTCTGCAGTTCCAGGCGATCCACCACCTCTACCCTCGTATGCCCCGCCACAACCTGCGTCGCGCGCAGAAACTGGTCCTGGAGTTCTGCAAAGACACGGGCATCCCCTACGCCATCTTCACCTTCTACGACGGCAACAAAGAAGTTCTCGGCAAACTTGGCGACGTCGCAAAGCAGCTCCGTCTTCTCGAAGAATGTCGCAAGACATGCGCCGACCAGGGCACCCTTTTGGACCATCACTAGCCTTCTAGATGACGTCTTACCCCCCTCCTTGCCTGCCTGACCTCCCAGCGTATATTCACACGAGCTCACCTACTTCGGGTGTTGTAAATATTCATTGCCTATTGTATTTATGGCGGCCTTTTGTTTGGGTATCGGATTCTGTTGATTTAGACCATCCGCATTACCACGTCAATGTGTTTACGATGCTCCTAGTATTGATTATGAAATAACGGTTTTGTAATTATCTATTGTCGATTTGATACTACAAGCTTTTAGGCGCTATATAACCCAATCAAAGCAAACAAACAGTACTATCCTATAAGACCTTACAGAATACCGAGAAGACCAGTCCAAGTATCAACACTGTAGATAATCTATTTATGTACTGATGAAGCAGGCTTCAAGAAGCGAATATAAACATGCATGGCCAGCACAACGAAGCAACAGTAGACAGCCATGCGGCATCGTGACGGGCGTAACAATCATCACCGAACGAATGAATTATGTAACATCATCATTATCATCCAACCATGCCCCCCGCCCTAGCTACCTTCTTCGCTCTCTGCTGTCGTCGATTATGATTCGCTCGGCTCGATTTATTCTCCTCCTTTCTTTGTCGCGAGACGTTTGTATTCGAAGTACTGCTCTGGTCTCCGGAGGCTCCTCCTCCACCTCCACCACCTCGTCGATTCCCGCCTCCTCCTCGTCCTCGACCACCGCCGCCTCCACGACCTCGACCGCGCGGATTAGAACCGCCTCCTCTTCCTCTATGAGCGGATCCCGACCCAGATGGCTCGTCCGACTCGCTGTCAAGATCGTCGTCACCCTTCGGTCCGGGTTTCCGGTACGCCGTTGGACGAAGTTCCGGTTGCGAGAGCACGCCGCCACCACCGCCACCACCAGAAAAGGAGACCTTGTCTTCGAGGCGGGCGAGTCGTTTCGGGTCCCGAGACAGCATCACGGCCCAGCCCTCGATAGCCTCGTCGGTCATTCCGGTCTCGCGCTTCAGGGACGCGCGGGGCTGCGAGCGACGGGTAGCAGAGTCTCGGGCGAACAGGGCCGCGTTGGCCTTGTAGGCCTGGAAGAGCGTCATGTCGAGGTCTTCGGAAGTCTTGCGCGCGTCGGCGTCGGCGTCTGCGTTGGTGGTCGTGGCGTCTACGGTGCCGCCGACATCGGCGACGTCGTAGGTGTCGTCGCGTTCGTCGTCGTCTGAGTCAAAAGTTGCGAGGGCGGACATGATGGCTGCTTTGTTGGCCGCGTGGTGACTGCGGTCGTTGAGCACGGCTTCGGTGGTTAGGGTGGAGTCTAGGCCGCCGAAGTGCAGTTTGCCGTCATCGTTGTTGGAGCGCGCGAGTTCGGCCAGGTCGATGTCGGTGTCGAAGACGTTCTTGCGAGTGGGCATGGGTTCTGGGGTGGCTGAGGGGGGCGTGGGATGCGGTGGGAAAGGGTCGTGAGGGATGGTGGAGGAGGTGGTGGGGAGTTGTTCGGATTTGTCGAGGGATTGGAGATGAGGCGGGATAGAGTCGTCGAGGAGGTGCGCGACGACGATTTCGGGGTTGTCGTCGAACACGTCGAGGAGACGCACGATGTAGCCAGAGCCTAAGTCGGGGAAGAGATCTTGGACCTGGGTGACGAGGGACATCTTGTGGATGTGGAGATCTTCAGGGCGAGGGAGGTCCGAGGCGCGGGCTTTACCCTTGTCGACGGTCCTCTTCTGTTTTTGATATCGATGATGGAAGACTTTTGAGTCGGCTTGGTATGCGCGCAGACTGGATACGAGGTCCTGGCCGCGCTTCTGCGGATACGAGAGTAGATACCGCTCCAGTCGGACGAGCAGATCCGAGCTGCAGATGACGTCGGAGAGAAGCGTGGCCTCCTTCCTGGTCTGGGGGTTGCCCACGCCGGCGCTGGCTTTCAGGCTGAAGAGTTGATCGAGCAGTAGTGATAGGTTGGGCTTAGGACCTTTCAACAGAGACACCAGGCCAACGTAGATGTTCGCGACGAGGACTCGACGAGCATCTTCTCGTTTATGCGCTTGATAGGCATCGGAGAACGTATCGAGGTAGTCCGCACCGGCCATGAGTATCTGACCGGACTGAGGAAGCGCAGACGCCAGGATGGTCAGCGAGCGAATGTCAGACACGACGCTTGCTGACTTGGCAGGGTTCATAAGAGAGAGCTGCTTGATAATCATCGACTTGGCCTTCTCCAGACTGGACGATATCGTGTTCTCATGCTTGTTCCATACATCGAACAGCAGCTTCTTCGCTGCCGCACTCGAAGGGTAGCAACAACATAGATCCCCGAGATACTTCCATTCAAGAAGCTGGGCCGGCGAGGTTGACAGCTCCAGTAGATATCGTCTCGTCAGCAGAAAGCTGAGTTTCCGTAACGTCTTCGACTTGGTACCTGCATGAAGACCAGACGTGCCGGGTGCGGATAATTGACTGTAGAATGAAGTCAAGAATGAGACTGCGGATTCATCGTTAGGTGCGAGGTCGCGGAATTGGGCATCCGACGCCTCTATGCGTAGACCGAGTACCAAGACCCAAGCATCTATATAGAGCTCCCACTCTTGGGACGGGATGGCGCTCTGCACCTCGGGCGGTGGAACTGGAGCAAGCGGAGGCCAATTTGCCATGGCCCTGCAGTGTGAGTTGACAACGAGGGTGACAGACAAACAGATGAACAACAGAAAAAAGAAGAACAGAGAGCAAATATGCCAGAGGAACCGGAATTAATACCAGGATATACCAGGATATACCAGGATATCAATCATGTGTCACGATGAGTCGAGGCTGCGTCGGTTTCCCAATGCGGTTAGCGCCAGATAGGCGAGCGCCAAGCCTTTCACGCCCACAAGCGGCGCTAAGCGCACTTACGAAAATTAAATCGAATAAAATAAAAAAGAGCTCCCTTTACACTCCGTCCCAGATCCAACTGTAGTCTTTTGAACGGCCATCATCACCTTACCGAACCCCGAAGTTCAGGTCTTGATTGGCAATTAGCCTCGTTTGTGGTATGGTTTTTGCCCACCGCCTAATTTCCCAATAATTTCTTCCCTGTCCCGCAGAACTAACCTTTCTCCTCTAGCCATCTCAATCCCACCGGTCTCATCCAACCTCAGTCAAGATGTCTTTCCAGAAGCCCGAGAAGGATTTCGGCGAGGGCCCCGTATGTTCTTGTCCTTTGCTATTATTTGCATTATAATTGTCGCTGTGACAGACAATGCGGTTAGACGTGAATACTAATCGGTGGCTGTTTTCATCGCACTACAGAAGGTCCACAAGATCCGTATCACCCTCACCTCCCGCAAGGTCGCTGCCCTTGAGAAGGTGTGCTCGGAGCTCATCGACCGTGCCCGCTCCAAGGCTCTCCAGGTCAAGGGTCCCGTCCGTCTGCCCACCAAGACCCTGCACATCTCCACCCGTAAGACCCCCAACGGTGAGGGTTCCAAGACCTGGGACAAGTACGAGATGCGCATCCACAAGCGTCTCATCGAGTATGTTTTACCCCTTCCTACCCCGACGTGACATTGGGGGATGCTAACGACTTGCCCTCCAGCCTGCTCGCTCCCACCGAGACCGTCAAGCAGATCATCATCAACATCGAGGCCGGTGTTGAGGTTGAGGTCACCATTGCCGCCTAAATGGGATCGTTCTAGTCCGGTACAAGGATGGGGTTGGGTCATGCCTTCCCCAGGGCGGCGCCGATGTGCTCCTCGAGTCATGTAGTAGATTTGCTTCAGGGCTTTGCCAGAGCCAACATCGATACCCGCTAGAACTTGGCACAAAAATTAAAAAGTTAAAAAACGAGTAACTTGGTCCTTGATCTTCGTAAGCTCTTCGACGGGCTCATACATTCGTGTCTACGTGAATTGGTGCTCACGGCATAACGTCCATTCTGGTCCTAATAAAATAAGTCTTCAACTGGAAAGCGCCTTTTAACCTCCTGTAAACGCTCAATAGTTATTATACACGATTCATAATAGCAGATTCCCAATAAACCCCCATAGCTAGAAATCAAAGCTCACGTTCCTTCTTTGCGGGGGAACTCTGGGGACGATGCCGTCTTTAAAGTATCCGTTCTTCGTAAAGAACTCGTACTGCTCGGAGATCTCGAAGTTGTACTCGTCTGGTTCTCCATAGGCGTCTCTCAAGCTTGCCTCGTCGGGCGGCCCGTCAGGGAAGAATATGCGGGCCCAGGTTTTCTGGTCCTGGGGATGTAGGTAGCACGGCACGTTATCAAAGTATTTTACCGGCTGCCCCTTCCACGAATTTAGTTTATTTGTCACGGGATCCCGAGTTGTCTGGCCGTTCAAAGGTGGGATGGGCATCAGTTCGTTAGGGTCTTCAACCCTGATAAAGGGACGAGCTCCAGCGTCTGTCCCCATCCCTACCGCGGGGGCCTGGGCCTGAATCGGAGCTGGTTGTTGCGGTTGCGGTTGCAAAGTGCCAAATGACGACGGGGCCGTCACAGGTTGTCCAAATGGATTTGGTGGCTGAGCGGGCTGCTCGGGTTGCTTGACGAAGCCAAAACCTGAAGGCGCCGCAGGTTGAGGTTGGGATTGGGGTTGAGGCTGAGGTTGTTGGTTAATCTGTGCAAACGGCGAAATACTGGAGGCAGATTGGCCGAACCCGGTATTTTGACCCTGGTATTTATTGGCCATCTGAGCAAAAGGACTTTCAGTGTTCTGAGGAACCGCGAACCCCGTTGCTCCCATCGCAGGTTGACCAAACGAAGGTTGTCCAAAGGCCGGCTTCTCGAATGCAGCCTGACCAGCAGCGGAAGGTTGCCCAAACGCTGGCTGGCCAAACGACGGCTGGCCAAAGCCCGATGGTTTGCCAAATCCTGGCTGTGCTAGTTTGGCGAATCCAGACACTTGATCGGGGGGTGGTGTAGGTTCTTCAGGTTTTCCGAATGGCGAGTTTCCAAAGCCCGAAAAGGACAGGGCCGTCTTGCCCTCGCAGATATCAATGCGATTTGGGTGTTCATTCTCGCCATCAATGATGTATTTGATGGCACCGTCCAGATCGGTTAAGATGACCTCCATCTGCTTGACATGTTCATCATACATGTTCTGGGCCTCTTGAATAGCGCCTTGCGCATTTCCAGCTGCAGCGAATTCGTAATGATGCAGACGAAGTTCCTCAAAGCTCATCTCTCGTTGAGGACCTCCAAATAGCTGCCTTGGGGCGTTCCGCCCGGGTCCGAAGCAGGAGAAGATCCATTCCGGTCGACCCTTTCCGGCAGTCAAGTCAATCTTGATATCGCTGACCGTCAAGCCATATCTGAAATCCCGTTAGTCAAGGAAAGATTGAGCAAAATGGAGAGTGACTGACTTAGCCGTCTGTTGATTCTGCTGTCCCTGGTTTTGGCGGCCTTGGCGAGAAGTTAGAGGACAGAAACGTGCTGAGTGATGAGGCATTGAGACAATCGATATACTCCAGAGGAACGCAAGATACTCAAATTGGGGAATAATATGCAAGAAATCCACATAAATATAGGGTAGACTGGGCACAAGACAACATGCTGAAGAGCTAGAGCAGGCGGCAGCCTTACACTCCTCTTGACAGACAAATGCATGGTTGAAAATAGAAAGAGCAGGAGCCTGGGGCATGGAACGTCCACGGGGAAGTCGCAGGCGTACCTTGTTGAAATCCTCCTCCGCCTGCGAGAGCAGCAAACGAATTCCCCGAGCCTGATCTGCCCGGATGTTCATATTTGCAGCGATCTAGATCGATCATTAGCAGGGCTTGCTACCACATTGATATTGACACTTACCTCCGAATCTACATCGATTCTGCTGGTAGAAAGTACAGACCACCATGGCGTCGTCCTGTTTAGGAGCTAAAGTCGAAAAGGTACCAACGTTCCTGCGGCGCGCGCGCTGAGGTATTGTACCGGCTTTAGAAGTGAGTGTCACGTGCAGACTAACAAGGGGGGCTTATCGCTCAGCAGTGAGCATGTTCAAAGAGCAATATCAACGACAATGTAGCGCTGGACCAGCCACCCCGACATGAAAGAAAGATGGATGAATTCATTATTATCGATAAACCGTCGCCCGGGGGTTCTTCCGGTATCAATACCTTTCGTCGGAAGCCCGCCGCGTATCGTAATTACGATCTATCAATGATTGACTTTCCATCCGATGGATATGGATGATGGGTTAGGTTATTCCACTAGAAATATATTGAGAGAAAACTAATCGGATTTTGTTTTAGTTTACTATTATGACTTGGGTCCGTCGAGTAAAAGTACATGATTCCGAACACAAAACTCCTATTCTCCAGACCGTTTCCAGGGCTATTGAAATCATGACCGCGAGGGCCGAATATCACCAAAAATTCAAGAAAGACCCCCTACGCGTGTTTCATGCTTTTTTTCAAGACATCCCAGTTCACCCCGTCGATCTTCTTCCCACTTAGGGACTCGAGCTCCGGCGAGAGTCCGGTCAATTTCCCCGTCGCAAGTCGTCGCATCATCACCGTGTCTTTGGAGCCGTGCAGGCCCTTGGCGCTGCCACGGAGCAGCGTATCCTCCAGCCATTGTTCCTCCTGCTCGTCAAAAGGAAGCCCGATCAACTCCATGGCCCGTTGGCTGCGGATCTGCCCAGCCTCGGTGGCGTGAACGATTTCAACCAGCAGCTCGAAATAAGCCTGGCGTAGGAGTTCTTGGTGGTTGCGAGTGAAGAAGAAAGCTTCCGTAATGCTAGACCGGCAGAGCGTTTGGAAGAAAGCTCGTTGGACGGCTTCGGTGGCCAGTGGCGGAGAGACGGTCAGGTAGTAGGCCATGACCAGGCTATCGTCGTGTCTGGGAATATGTGGAAGTGTAAGGACGTAGAGGATCTCGTCGGGGAAAGTGGGAATGATCGAGGGCTCGGTCAGGTACTCGACAGCGCGCTGGATGAGGGCTCTTGTTAGCAAACGTCGCTAGACAAATCGATTCGACTCTTCGACATACCCTGAACTCAAGCCTGTCCAAGTTCCAGAGCCCTTCGATAAAGAGTCTGTATTTCTCAGGCAAATGGCATCGTCGCGAGAACTGCGTGGCCGCATCGCTAGCTGCCCGACAATCCTTCAAAATGTAGTAGATCAACGCTTGTTTGTGATGAATGTCCAATGCGGAGGAGACGATCTGGTCGACAAGTGTGCGAAGGTCTGAGTTCGACCTAGGAGGGTACTGCTTGGTCACTTAAAGCGCCGTCTCTGATCAGCATGTTTCTCCAGATAGACCCAGGTCATGGTTGAGCTCTGTTCGTACCTGCTTTGACTCCGGCGAGTCTTAAGAGTCTGTCGGCGAACAACTGGTTCTCTAGAGCTCGACGATTGGCGAGGATCTGCTCAATGACCTTGCCATCGTAGGTGAAGTTCTTGTCGAAGTAGAATATGGAGTCAAAGTCGTCCCACGGAGCCATTCTGGCGGTTGTCGCAAACAATAATCGGGATTGAAGGCGGCGTTGAATCGATACTTTACTGGATACCGTATCGGACACCGGCCGTACTTACCGCTGACTCAGGCACCCCGAGCCAGTGCGGCAGGCGGTGAGACATCGACACAATGACTAAGGCATCGAATTGTTGTGGCAGAAAGAGGCGCTTTCCCCGATCGGGAGACAATGTAAACAACCCACTTCCGTCCGCCGCTTTTTCCAACAAAGACATCTCCGCCTGTCCCTCCTCCACCCTTATGAGGCCCTCATCGCCAATCTATCCCCCCCTCACATAATGTCCTCAGTTGCAAAGGGTCGCCCGTCCCGGCGATCTACCGCCTCCCGACGGAGTTATGCCATGGAAGAGTCCTCCTCCGAGGAAGATGCCGGAAATGTTACCCCCACCCAGTCCAACCCCGATGGAGATGAAGATGACGAGGAGGAGGAAGAAGAAGAAGAAGAAGAAGAAGAAGAATACACCCCGGTTCCCCAACAGAAGACCACGTCTTCGAGGAGGACTTCGCGACGTGTGACCTCCGAAATGCCCCCACCGAGCGCCACCCCCAGTACCGCACGCACCTCGCGGAGGTCCCGAAGATCGCAAACGACGGAGGACCTCGAGTCGTCGCAAATCAGCAATGCAAACGACGAAGGCGAAACAGTCGCGACGATTGAAGAAGAAGAGCCCGGAACACCGACACAGAAAGACGCTTCGGCCAAGAAAAGAAGAAGTATGCCTCATCACCCCCGCAAGAGTCGCGGCTCTTTGGCGCCAATTTCAACACATTCCTTACTCCCAACTCCAGAGCCCTCAGAGTCGCCGCAATCCCAAACGCGATCCCAGCGAGGCAGTGTGCCCCCCCTCGGCGATATCACCGACTCCGCCGTAAACCAGCCGCCGCCGCCTGAGCCCGCCGAACAACCCGCCGAGGAGCCTGCTGAGGATCCGAAGTCCCAGGTCTCTGCCATCAACCCCAATACCACCATCCTCGAGAAACCCATGGACATCATGTTGAAGTCGCGAACGCTGAACCCTTCGGAGCCCCCGGAAGAACCCTCGGGACCCAAATCGCGGCTGATGATGAAAAACTTGATACTGATGAACTTCAAAAGTTACGCAGGAAAGCAGGTTGTCGGGCCCTTCCACGCCTCCTTTTCCTCCATCGTCGGGCCAAACGGATCCGGAAAGTCGAACGTCATCGATGCGCTGCTGTTTGTCTTCGGTTTTCGAGCAAGCAAGATGCGACAGGGCAAGATCTCTGCGCTGATTCACAACTCGGCTAACCACCCGAACCTGCCCTTCTGCGAGGTCGAGGTTCATTTCCAAGAGGTTTTCGACCGGCCCGACGGCCTACACGATATCGTCCCAGATTCCCAACTGATCATTTCCCGAAAGGCATTCAAAAACAATACCAGCAAATACTACATGAACGGCAAAGAGACAAACTTCACCGCGGTGACAGGCCTACTTCGGGACCGCGGAATCGATCTTGACCACAAACGTTTCCTGATTCTGCAAGGTGAAGTCGAATCCATCGCTCAGATGAAAGCCAAAGCGATGAACGAACACGAGGACGGACTGTTGGAGTATCTTGAAGACATCATCGGCACTTCGAAATATAAGCAACCCATCGACGAAGCGGCCGCGGAACTGGAGACACTCAACGATGTCTGCATGGAAAAGAATAACCGTGTTCAGCATGTCGAAAAAGAGAAGACTGGCTTAGAGGATAAGAAAAATAAAGCCCTTGCCTTTATTCGCGACGAAAATGAGCTGTCCCATAAGCAGTCGGCACTGTATCAAATCTACATGGACGAATGCGCCGACAACATTCGAGTCACGGAAGAGGCCATCCTTCAAATGCAGGAGCTTCTGAACATGGAACTCGAGAAACACGAAGGCAACGAGTCCGGCATCAAGGAAATGGAGAAGGCCTACAAGCGCGGCATGCGCGCGTACGAAAGCATGGAGAAGGAGACGCAGTCTCTGGCCAAAGAAATGGCCAAGTACGATAAGGAGACAGTTAAGTTCGAGGAGAAGAAAAAATTCTTAGCCGGTAAACAGAAAAAGCTGGAAAAGTCCATGCAGACCGCCCGCCTAGCTGCGTCGGAGTGTGAAAGCCTGGTGGAGAAGCATACTAATGATATCGAGAACAAGACGAAAGAGACCGCACAGCTGGAGAAGGAGATGCAGGCTGAGGAGGCTGAGTTGTCGGAGATCCGTGAAAGTCTGAAAGGAAAAACGCAGGGTCTTTCCGATAAGGTCACCGCAAAGCAAAAGTCCCTGGAGCCTTGGGATGAGAAGATCAACAAAAAGGTTTCCGCGGTTGCCGTGGCCCAGAGTGAGCTCGACATCATTCGCGAGAGAAGCAACGCCGGTGCAGTGCAACTTGAAGAAGCTCAGAGCAAGGTGTCGTCGATTGAGGAGACACTGGCTACCAAAGAGGCTGACCTTGAGGAGCGCAAGGCCCAAAAAGTCACCCTCGAGGAAGAGCTGGCGAAACTGAAGCACGACCTAAAGAAATATTCTCACAAGGAGCCCGAAGTCCGCACTCATGTCTCTAACGCTCGGCAGAAGGCTGAGGAGGCAAGAGCTAGCTTGGCCAGCACTCAGAATCGCGGCAGCGTGTTGTCTGGTCTGATGCGTCTGAAGGAGTCCGGTCGTATCGATGGATTCCATGGAAGACTTGGTAACTTGGGCACGATTGACCAGGAGTACGATGTCGCTATTTCCACCGCCTGCCCTGCCCTAGATAATATGGTCGTCGACACGGTGGAGGTTGGTCAGCAGTGTATCGACTATCTCCGAAAGAACAATCTTGGTCGTGCCAACTTCATCCTTCTGGATCGCCTTCCCCGGCGAGACATGTCCGCCGTCTCCACCCCCGAAAATGTTCCACGACTATTCGATTTGGTCAATCCCAAAGATCCCAAATTTGCGCCGGCTTTCTACAGCGTGATGCAAAACACTTTGGTCGCAAAGGACCTTGAGCAGGCCAACCGTATCGCTTATGGTGCTCGTCGGTGGAGGGTAGTTACGCTTGACGGCCAGCTTATCGACACATCCGGTACTATGAGTGGTGGTGGCACGCGTGTTGCGCGAGGCGGTATGTCGTCGAAACAAGTGGCCGAAACGAGCCGGGAGCAGGTGTCGAAGCTTGAAGGTGACCTTGGGGAGATGGAGAAAAAGTTCCAGGCTTTCCAGGAAAAGCAACGCCACATTGAAGCTTCGCTTCGGGAGAAGTCTCAGGAGATTCCTCGCATGGAGACAAAGATCCAAAAGATCATGATTGAGATCGAGAGTACCAATCGCAGTCTTGCAGATGCACAGCGCCGCGTCAAGGAATTGGGTGCTGCCCACAAGCCCTCCAAGACTGATGCCAGCCAGACGACCGGTCTCGAGAAGCAAATTTCCGCATTGGATGAGGAGATCGAAGACCTCCGCAGCCAGAAAGGAGTCATCGAGGAGGAAATCCAATCGCTCCAGAACAAAATCATGGAAGTTGGTGGTGTGCGCCTGAGGAGTCAGAAGGCTAAGGTGGATGGGCTTAAGGAGCAGATCAGCCTTCTCTCGGACGAGATTTCCAACGCCGAAGTTGGAAAGTCCAAGAACGAGAAGTCGATCGTGAAGCACCAAAAGACCCGTGCTGATGCCGAAGACGAACTTCAGCATATTGCCGAAGATCTAGAGAAGCTCGCGGAAGACGTCGCCAACCAGGACAGCGACGCGTCCGGCTGGAGGCAAAAGGTGGAGGAAGCGCAAGAGGTAAGTGGTTCATAAAAATGAATGAAACAGAAACTTACATTACGAAGGCCCTTGAGACCAAGAAAGAGGAACTCTCGACTCTGAAATCTCAATTGGACGAGAAAGTCGCCGAGTTGAACGAAAGCAGAGCTACCGAAATTGAGATGCGGAATAAGCTCGAGGAGAACCAGAAGGCTCTGTCGGAGAACGAAAAGCGTGGACGATACTGGCAAGAGAAGCTGTCCAAGTTGACATTGCAAAACGTCAGCGATCTGGGGGAGGATCAGGAAGCCACAGAACTCCAGACCTATACCAAGGACGAGCTGTCTGAGATGAACAAAGAGTCTCTTAAAGCGGTTATCGCAGCTCTCGAGGAGAAGAGTCAGAACGCTTCGGTTGATCTCTCGGTCATTGATGAGTACCGTCGCCGGACGGCTGAGCACCAAGCTCGCTCGGCGGATCTGGCGACTGCCTTGACTACTCGCGATAGCGCCAAGGCACGTCTGGACGGTCTCAGGTCGTCCCGGCTGAACGGGTTCATGGAAGGATTCGGCATCATCTCGCTCCGACTCAAGGAGATGTACCAGATGATCACAATGGGTGGTAACGCTGAGTTGGAACTGGTTGACTCTTTGGATCCCTTCTCGGAGGGCATTCTGTTCTCCGTCATGCCCCCGAAGAAGAGTTGGAAGAACATCGGTAACCTGTCCGGTGGTGAGAAGACCCTGTCCAGTTTGGCTCTGGTCTTCGCTCTGCATCACTACAAGCCTACTCCGCTGTACGTCATGGACGAAATCGACGCCGCCCTGGATTTCCGAAACGTGAGTATTCAACCCTTTCAGACGAGAGAGATCTCAACTAATCTGCATCCTTCAGGTCTCAATCGTCGCCTCGTACATCAAGGAGAGAACCAAGAACGCACAATTCATCGTTATCTCCCTGCGAAACAACATGGTATGTCTCCAGATCAGACCTTTGCGCGGATGATCGACCGGATTACTGACATTGGACCTTCCAGTTCGAACTCGCCTCTCGACTTGTCGGAGTCTACAAGGTCAACCATATGACCAAAAGTGTGACCATCCAGAACAGAGATTACATCACGGGACGATGATCGAGTGCGCTTTTTGCCTCGTTATTTACAAGTTTTCCTTCACATTAGCTTTGTTGGGTTTATTCTATTTATGGCTGCTGGCACCGGAAATAGGGTGGGATTGAATTTTGGGATGCTTTCAATTTAGTTGTTCTTCCATTCGTGTTATTTTCCTTATACTTATGTTCTATGCAGGGTAGCACAGTACTGAATTTAAATGCGAACGTAAATAACCCTAGGCAGTCCGCAGGTTCTATTGCCGCTCCAGACTTCCAGAACGGTCATTGAACTGACGACTGCAAAGCTGCTATAGACGCACAACAGCTTCCTTGAGTGTCCAAGTCACTGGTTGACGAGTTCAGCCCAGATGGAACGTTTCCACCGGCTACGATTGTAACTAAGGGATTCACGATGAATTGAAGGACAACCCAGTACCTAGGAAGGTTGGCATAATTTGATACTTGAAGTATATCGAACACATCATTTTCCGATGCAAGGTATCTTTTCTCCAGGCGGGTGTTTTCCGGGAGAATTGTTAACTCATTCATGACCTTCGAAACAAAGGCCACATCTTCCTGAAATGAGGGACCTTCGAGTCCCGGATAGTACGTACTCTGGGTCAGTTGAGATGGAGGTCCTAGGCTGAGTGGCGTTTTTTGAAACATGGGACCCCGAATTTGTTCCCAAAGAACAGCTGCATTGGGGCAACCGGAGGCGACTAAATGTGCGAGCTTGTCTTCAGGAATAGCAGGCGTAAACTTTTGGAGAGAAAAGTCGCAGCTTAGTCTGGAAATAATTGGATATCGAAGAAATCGAGGTTAGCCAGAGCCGCAAGGCGCTCCCATTCACCATGGCAACTATTATAGAGCTCCATGATAAAATCAAATACAGCGTTGGCTTCTGGAGATAATTGTCGGAATATAATCCGCGAGCCACTCCATGCGGCTCTGAAATATGTTTAATATGCAGTTTCTCCGTCAAGCCGCGTGAAGTTCAGAGGGCTGTATACTTAGCCATGTAATGAGCATAAAGCTTTTACTGCGGATCCAGGCCATTGAATGCAGATGCCACTGAAAGCTGGAATATCTGGGGTGCTGCCATCTTAGAAAACGGCTGGTAAGAGTCTTCGTTGCAGCAGAGAGGTTCATTGATAAGTGTTTACACTTGTGTCTGGGCGGCTTAGGTAACAGTTAGGTAACATAACATTAACTCAACTCGAGCAGCGGATTTTCCCTGCGGCCCTTGTTATTTGACAAACTGCTGGACCAAAAGCCTGCTGCCTTCTGAAATTGTGAATAATAGCGTGAAAACCCAGCATCCTGTGATATAACTACTATATATCACGACCTAGCTAACATTAAGACGTAGTTTGTAGCAACATTCTTGGAATCACGGTTTCGGAATCTAAAGCTCCAAATATACGCGAAGCATACCACTACAACGGGTGCCCTTAGTCTCCGAACTCCGAAGCTCGAATGCTATCGCACCGCTTCTTTTCCGAGCGACCGTTTCTTGTGAAGAGCATCCAATATCGATGAAGCTCAGCTGCGGCGACCAGCACATACAGTTTAGTGGCAATAGACTACTTTTGCGTACCTTCCTATCCCCACATCAATACTAATTTATCGCCAAATAGTATAGTGCATTACAGTTCTACAGATTTTGTCCTACATATCTAGAGCCAAGATGATGTTGAAGTCACATTGGATTACACATACTTAAGTGTGATATTATTGCATGAGGCCCCACGACTTTAGACTAGAGCAACAGGCTGGGACTACACCCTGCAGAATCGAGTGGCAAGCGTACGAATTTGCCTTGCTACTTTGTCGACCATCCCTAGCCCTTCTATATCTTTCCTATAGCTTCCTTTCGCCTTTAGCTGCTACGCGGGGTTCTTTGGAGCCGAGTTGTTACTTGCTGCAAGTTATTAGAGGTGAGTCGTCTTATCGGTGATTGAGCAAAGCTGATTACAGTTTGTCAATAGAGAAATGTATATTATGTCAACTGAATGACCGCTCTACCAGTTCTTTAATATTGTGACTAATTCAGCCATCATCGTTATCAGGATGTCGGAAGTTATCAATACCATGACAAGGATGGTAACGATCATGTCCAGAAGGACCAGATTTGAATATGTAAGCACTAAGCAGCGAGGGACTGTAAACAGCCCCTAGTGCAGCATGCATGATTTCCTTCATGGCTTAGCCGTCCTCTAACAAAGAAAAAAAAAAAAAAACAATCGTGATGGAATTTGGATATTAGCAAAAGGCCAAAAAAAAAGCCCGTATGGAGGACGGTGATACTGTAAGTCTTAGTGGATGGCATACATATACGCTTTAGTCTTACCAAGAAGCTTGGTCTTCTTTTATACATTTACAGAAGAAACCAGATTCTCCTAGCATGACGAAATGTAACGGACTTAAGGTGAAAGCCAGTAGGCATACAGAAATTCTTTCCACCTTTCCTTACAATAGAGTACAGCTTCTCGATGTTGAATTCGCAAAATCGATCATGTTGTTCGTGATCACGATAGAAGTGAGACATGGCTTTCCTTATCCAATTATAAATTTCTAGGTATGGAAGAAATCTGCATTCTATAAAGTGCCCGTCCTGTCCGTCCAGTCTTTCTTCTTGCCCATCACCCTTCACCAAACCTAACGAAATGCGTCGTCAAAGTACATAAGGTCCTATGATAATCATCTACAACTGAATATTAACAGCTTTCTATGTGCCTACCGTACGTCATGTGTTTTGCCATTTACAAGACTTACTTTGTTAGCTTTCTTTCCTCGATAGGAACACGTTTGTACATACATCGCAGTTGTAGTCATCGAACCGAATAGGATTTAACCGATGTCCGCCGCTGCTGACAATCACAATTCTTGGCTCCTTTATAAAACGCAACCACTTTCCCCAAAATTCCCGCTTATAAGTACTATTGAAGATCCTGTGGTAAATTACTATCAAGTACCGGCTCAGCCTGGATCATGGATGTTGACCACCTTTCTTCACAGTCAGTTCCGGTGTAATGCACATGATGTTATCCATTGGCCAGAGCCCCATGTACAACGACACTCGAAAGCATGGACGCGGCAGGACACCTTTCAAAGGCTTTTATAATGCAATACAGAACCCCGTGAGACGAACGCAAGATTTATTCAACCCGAAAATAGCGAATGGGCCACTTCAATCGTCACGATTAATGCTATAGGCAGCGAACTACCTCCGCAGATCATTTTCGCGGGTAGGATGCAGCAAGAGGATTGATGAGTTGCCTGCTCAGTGTGTTCCACCTTTTTTTTCAGTTCAGTTTCTTTTTTCTTCACTGCTTTAATGCTGTCAATGCTGGCCTGTGCCTGAAGATCATTACTCTCCTCTGCCCGCCTCTTAGCCATCTGGGAAAACATGTCAGTGAAGTCGTTATTTTTCCCTTCCTCCGCACAGAGCTTTGATTATTGCTCCTGGATGGTCGCGTTGGCCCGCCTCTTGCTTCTGCTGCGAGTCTTTGTTTCGGGCTAATTAATCATCCCCAGTTGTCAATAGCTTGTTGAGCGACAGAACATCCTTTGTAGCAGCACCTAGCGCCTTAAGCGATGATTGAAAGCTTTTTTTCCTTTGACTTTGAATTAGACGCTGTATTGCTGATACCGTGGTGGCTTCAAGGTTGTTTGCCATCTAGTCTACTCGCTCTGCTTTTGAATACAAGCACACTACTCCTTACTCAAGGTTGTCAACCCACCATCCAGTGGGTTCCGGGACATGCGGTGGTAGAAGGAAATGAGAGAGCTGACCGGGTAGCAAAGCGGGCAGCTAATAAGCCACCAGGGAGAGGCCCAAAAGAGATCTATTTGGCTTTTGCCCGCAGAGCCCGGACAAAGGCCATTGTAACACAGAAGCATAGATGGCTCACTAAGGAGCTTAGCCAGCGATCTCAACAAGGTCAACGGACGTACAGGCCAGGGAGGAACTGGCGACTGAATCCTGCACTTGTGGTGGCTCCCCAACATCTAGCGAGCAGGTTTTTCGACTGAAATCAGGACATGCCGCTATTGGAGCATACCTACATCGGATTAAGGCCTAAAAGGATGCAACCTGCAGAGATTGTGGCTTATCAAAGGGGACAGTACACCATCTTCTTTTTGAATGCCGGAAATGGCGACATCAACGAAACAAGCTCTACAAGGATTTGGAGATGGATGGGGTTATGGAACCCACTGCCGCAGAAGAGCACCCACAAGGATGACTTTTAGTCGGGACCGAAACCATCTTTCTGTCATTGTCTGGAGTTACGGTAATGAAGTAGGCGAGCAAGGGAACTACGACGCGGAGACAGCTGAGATCACCACATACCTCAGAAATATCGTCATCGAGGAAGATACGACCCGTCCGTCAACAGGCTCGATTCATCGATCCACGCCGACTAGTTTGTACACTGAAGTGGTCGAAATCATAAATTTAAACTACCAAGGCGAAGACATGCGGTATGGTCCTGCATACACGCGCTTGGTTGGAAACCGCGGGAAACCACAATATGACGCGTTCCATGACGCCCATCCCGATAAGCTTGTTTTTGGTAGCGAAGTCGCGTGGTCGCTGAGCAGTCGAGGTTCGTTCATGTTTCCGGTCACGAATTATATAAGTTCGCCCATAAACGATACAGCTGGTGGGAACTCGAGCGCTCTTGAAATCTCTGCATACGAGCTGTATTCTTCCGACAGTGGGTCTTCTCCTGATAGGGTCCTCTTAACTCAGGACGAGCACCCCTTCGCCGCTGGTGGATTCATCTGGGCGGGTTGAGACTACCTCGGCGAGCCATACCCCTACGACGAGGCCCGCAGTGCGTATTCCGGAATCATCGATCTCTCAGGCTTTAAGAAAGAGCGATTCTATCTCTACCAGTCACGCTGGCGGCCAGACTTTCCAATGGCGTATCATTCCCCACTGGACGTGGCCGGATAGAGTTGGAGAAGTAACGCCAGTCCACGTGTTTACCTCTGGTGACGAGGCAGAGCTCTTCCTCAACGGCGTCTCACAAGGGAGACTCAAGAATGAGCCCTTGACCTATCGATTTAAATGGACTTGCTTTGTGCATTGTTCGGGCTAAAGTGGGTGCGTCGGGAAGAATCACTGTCAGGGCTGAGAGTGAGGGTCTGAAAGGGGCAGAGATTGTTCTTAGGGCACACTAGGTGCATGCAGGTCGGGGGGAAAAGTAGGGCTCACCCACATTGATTCGTGCTTTGACCAGGTTTAGATATGAAGGATTGAAGTTTCTGGCTCTCCCCTCATACTTCCTCTTCCGGCCATAAAGTACCAGGGATGACTGTGTTAGTTCTCAATCGCCCACGGTCCTTCCATAGGAATCCCTTCGCATTGCCATTGGACCCAGGTCAAGGTTAGAAACGCGGAGGCCTCCTGCGCTCAAACGACCCATAATTCAACCGATAGAGGGAAACCCGGCGCCTTGCCTAAGTACGGTAGTACCTCAACACGAGGGAATTAATTAGCCGGACTTTGACGTTACATAGTCGACTCCATCATGCGGGAAGATTCGGCAACGCGGCACGATTCTATTCTGCTCGGTCCTGGAAAAGGATGGCCATGTTCTGTCAGAACCAGGCTTCAAGATGAATACCATGCTACGGATTCGTTGTCCCTACCAATTGCCGGAACTAGGTAGCAAAAGAGCTAAACCCTTTCTTGTCAACTGTACCAGCCTTCAGCATCGCTCCAGCCAGAAACAGTGCTTTACTTGAACTCGCCAAGTTATCCCTTTCCATTCCTGTTGCTGGTGTGATCGACAATATACATAATAAGGGGAGCTGGGCACAGTGAATACTGTCAATCTGATGGCTAATAATTTGACTCAATGCACCTTTGGGGGGAGGAGTCGTTTCCTAATTTAGTCGCCTTCAGCTCAATCCACAAAAATTTTTTTTTTCCAACAGGGGCGATAACTGTAGCCAGAAGTAGCTTAGGACTAACAGTGTTATCTGTAGTCTCTATCACTCGTCACCTTACTATACCAGGTGCCAGAAGTATCATCCACACAAGCACCCCCAGAAAGCAGGGTATTACGAACACCAACTCCGACGAAATCCTCGGTCGCGGCGCAAATCACGCAAGAACATTCATAATGACTCTACGGGCCGCGAGCCAGTCTACTCTTCGATTAGGTTTGAATCTTGGCTCGCCGTCGACAGCGCCAACCTGAGCTAGCCAACGTCCGGCTAGCTGCGATGAAGCCTGCTACGGCTGACACTCTGACGCAGGAGATCGACCACAGCTCTTCCTGTAGCTTTCTTTACAATCTATTTTGACATGAGGGTTTTGTTCCATTCAATCGTCGGAATTTTGGGATGACGTGCCATTCGAATCAGTTCTCATGGAACTGACGATGGTTTGGTAAGACCCCGGCGTTCTCATAGGACTGCAAAGTTAGGGCCCAAATATCGTAGGAATCATCAACACGTCCCCAGCCAGCCTTCCGCGCCTTATTTATCGAGCCCACATAAGGGGTTATAACATCACAATTAGGATTGAAAAACCAGTTCATCATCTCAAATGCGTCGATTCGGAAGGAATCCACCCTTCCGCCGTATTTGGCAACAATGCGTTCCCAGACTGGGACTTTATCCTTGGCCCACTCCCCCAAGTCGACCTGGGACTTCTTTTCGTCTAGCACAGAAGAATAGTTGGGAGCGTGCATGTTGAAGTGCTCTCCAAGTCGTTGCCAGAGAAACTTGCTGACCAAAACATCGCCGTTGACGTGGTTGAACGCTTCGTCTTTGCAGTGGTCGCGAGTCGTAGCGAAGATAGTCAGATCTGCGATGCCTGGGGAGTAAGACATGCCCTGAGGAGAGTGGTAGGTGTTGAGGCTTCCTGGCCACTTCGGCTCTTCGCCAAGCTCGCGGCAGATGAGGAAGTACTGGGCTATTGGGACGGCTTCGTTCATTCCAGCGACTACAGTCCTCGGATTAGCTTGTGTCAATTGGGAGCGTCACCTGAATGGAGGGTTAGGCTGACATTGAGGAGTAAACCCGACGATACCAAAAGGGCGAATAATGTTGTAGTGCCAGGTGTTTCTTCGTTTCTGGATCTCGAAGAGATCATCCTCTTGCTGATAGTAGAAGATTGATTCCGAGCCGGGCCCGCAATACCGAGGAAGATCCTCGTGAAGGAGTGTATTGGACTCTTGGAATTGCACTCCATAGTGCTAGGATAATAGTCTTGTGTCAGCTCCAATGATCATCCTATCTCGTCCAACGCCATATCCTTGCCTACCTTTCCTCCAGTCTGAAGACAAACGCGCTCCAAACTGGGGCACACTGTGTCAATGGCTTCCAGAAAGTTTCGAAACAAGGGACAGTTCTTCTCGGCAAGCTTGAAGAAGTCGTTGTTATGGATGTATGAAGTAAAGTAGGCGTGTGTAACATCACTGCAGATAGCTTTCATCTTTCGCACGATGGTTTCCTTTGGTTCCAGAAAGTCCAGTGCGATAAATTCGACACGAGGGTCAACCCAGTAGCTTTGCAGCTGGCTGCGCGACGTCACGATAATCTTGGACCTACACCATCGATGTCAGCTGAATTATCTGCAATGAGGGCGTCAGGTTTATTTACCATTCGGTATCTGGTCTCCGAATCAGGTGTTCAACAATGGCATGCCCGCTGATGCCATTTGCACCGGTGACAAGCGCTACCTTGGGAAGGTCAGAGTTGCGGTTAACCATCGCGTTGGTTGTAAAAGACAGGATGATGAGTATCTTTGAGGTTGATGAAATTGGCTGATAGAAGAAGACCTCTCCTCTCAACTTGGGAATCGTACCTGCTTTTATACCAATTCTTGGAGATTATACTCTGTCAAAAGCATCACCTAAAAGAACAGGGTGAAGAATTCGGAAGTCTCTAGCCATCTAGTTTCACGCGTATGCCGTCATTTTGTCTTGGCTGTCAACCTCTGCCAGATGATTAGCCTATTGCAAGTGTCAAAAACGCGTGTGGATTATTACTAGTAAGGGTCAGGTCTGAGGACCGCCGAGCTGCATACGTCGTGAATTCGTGATTCATAAACAGAATTTCCTAAATGGGAGATGTTTATCCAATTTCCAACATGTATAACTCTGTTGGACCGCCAAGGTGCCAAGGCGGCCACGTCCGGCGGTAGCGAGGCCCAGGCCACCCCGCCTGGATTCTAATATACTCCATCTTCTTATGGCATTAGCAGATCATAATTAAAATCATCACTCCGTAGGCCTACAGCGCCCAAGAGTTCTTATTCGTTATTCTAGGTCCTGCATGAATGAATTCTACGCCCCTAGCAGCAGACCGATGACTAAAAAGGCTCTAGTGCCTTTTTTTACCTCTTGCTCTAGAAGGCTGTTTACATTGCCCCTCAATGGCACGATCCAAGTCGACTAGAAAGGCTGGCTTGCGTGTAAATGTTTGCTAGACCATGTCAAAATGCCGAGTCACTCAGTCTTCTATCTCCCTTCTTTGATGTTGGTGTCTGCACCATATAAGCATTGTTATAGTGACACAATTGATGAAGAGTCCAGAATACCATATGAGCCGTTGAACATTAGAAAATAGAACTTCTGGACCCTTCTGCTCCAGTATCCACTAACTATAGCAACCCGAATGCACCCTCCTCACACTAAACCTGACTACGAATCACCTTCAAGCCGTGTCCGAGCCCGGAAAACATAATCTGCAGTTCATTTCCTGCCCAGACAGTTTGTGATTGTGCCAACCGCCGTTTTCGGACTCTATCGGAAGTTCCTCCGAGCCGAGTCCGAGAAGCCGCTTAGTCAGAGGGGCCGGGAGACGGTAACCCCGAGGGGATCGACAATCTCGGCCCAACCACAAGCCACCCGGTAGCCATCTAGGTCCGGGAGACCTGTCATATCCAGTAGTTCCCCACCTGTGGATGCTGAGGTGGCGAGCCTACAAGGCATCAGTCCAATAGGAACTATCCCACTGCAGATCGATCCAATCGGTATTTTCCCACGCGAAAATGTGGCGGAACGCACAGGGTGGATGGTCTTGGCTTTTCCAAGGTATTCCATCTGCCATGATCTCAGTCACGCTTATTAATGACCTTCAGCCCCAAAATCCGATTACATTACTACTGGGCGAACTATTGTTAGATGTTGATCTTTTTGAACACAAGCCCAGCTATTTGAAAAAGCCTCTAGTCAATTCCAATTGTTCACTATCTCTTGAGCGATGTCAAATGTACGCTATACTTCTCTGCTGACCTTTCCGTCGGCTTACTTTGAAGAGTCTTGCAGCTTGTCTCCGAGCAAATAGCTTCTGAATTGCTTATTTTGATATTTTCTTTCTTTGCTTGAATGTCCAGAAGGCACGTCCTCTCCATTCTCAGTCCTGGAGCGTAGTGCGAGATCCATGTTGCAGATATCGTTTACGTCGCAATCAATTATCGTTTAACACTAAATGTTCACGGAAAGTCGAGGCGTTGATAGATACGATTTCAAGCTGGAATCAAAGTCGAACAGTCGAACTTTCGTTCTCATTGATTTTTCATATCGATGATGCTCGGGAATAGTTCGTTGAAAGGTTGCAGGGATTGTCCATCAAATAGACTGAAGTACTCCTCCGAGTCAATCCGCATTATAGCCTTGGTAACAAGCCACAATTCATTTGCACTTGCCATAAAACCAGCTAGTTCCATCTCTGCTTCATTGCTAGTTTGGGAGATTAACTCTTCCCATAATATCTTCCATCTAGACAACGCCCGATGCAAAGGGGCTAAATTTTGTTGGATCATCCGACTTGTAAAGGCCGAGAACATCACTAGGTGCAGCCCTGACCAAGAATTAGTTTGTAGCCGAATATTGGGAAGAGGTTCTCTTGAATCGGATGACAAACCAGATATAACAGTAAAGAGTCCAAATACCCCGATATTGCTGAAAACTGGATTACTAGGCCCATCCCAAGCGCCATCCATGAGGAGATCTATGACATGAACTAGGGAAGGTGAATGCGGGGTTTTTACCAATAATGACGACTGATTTTGAAAAAACATCAGTTCGTTACAAGGAAGATTTCCAGTTGACTCTAGAATCGTGATCATGGGAGGAATTCGAAAAGAAGTCACAAATTCGCAGTCCAACAGCAAGATAAAATGAGCAGTCCTACACCATATGATTAGTTACATTGAATGCACTAGGCTGAAGAAGCGGGAAACATTTGTTTACCTTAACCGTGATTCCGACTGGGCATTCCAAACCCACCCTTCTGAAGTAGTGGAGCCACGATCGTGCCTCGAGCTGAATAGTGAGATTGATCGCGCAGCATGTACCAGCATTGGAAATCGCTGGTATCTTACCCTTCGACGGATATCAGGATCGTTGCGTCCAATTTGTAGTTGTAGTAGAATGACTACTGCTTTCAGAATATCGTAATTTTCCGACATCTGCGACTCATAGGTCGCAGTGTATTGAATTTCTGTGTTAAACACGGACAAGCTGAACATATAAGACTCCGCAATGTCAATGCAATCAACTGCTAGAGAGCACGTGTCTCTCGGATAGGAGTGTAAAGAACCTCCTAAAAATGTAGCCAACAGGAGAGGCAGGGTAGCAGATTCAGCTTGGAAAGTTGGAAAATAAATAATTGGGCAATGTCTGTGATGGTGCTGCACGTAGAGATGTTCAAACAGGCGTATATTTGTCGCTGAAAATAGGCCTTGGTCAACAGCGTTTTTCAAATTGGCTTGGGACTTGGTGCATGTGGCAAAGGGTTTTAAATTCTGCGCCAGCTCTTGAGCGCGCAGTGAAAGAATGTCGCCTTCTTGGTGATTGGTGGGCACATTTTCGGCTCTTTGAGCTATTACATAGTTGTTCAACTCGATGCTACTGTTCCACATGAAAGGGGGTTCTTCAAAGCCCGGTTCTTCCAAAAAGCCCTCTGTGACATTCAACTGCCCACTAGCTGTCTCGCCTGAATGAGAGGACAGATTGGAAGAATGAACAGCCTTTGGCCGTCCAGCCTCAAGCGCTGGAATCAGATCCAGAACTGTGTTATTGGCATCATAATATCGTAGTAAGAATGGTATGCGAGCTTTCAGCAACCTGTCTGGAGAATTCCCGGATGGTGGCGACGGAGTCTCTATCGGTTTGGTAGTCTCTTTCTGGGGAGAAAGCATAACCCGGCTGTAATCACACGATCTAGCATTGCTTTTACAGTTCCCACATGGCGATTTTTTATCGCAGGAGGTCTTGTTGTGAGCACACAGATCACATGATTTTCGCGGTTTTCCCCTTTGCTCTGTTGGTGGGAGTGGCCGACCACGTCTCTTCGCGCATGTCTTGGCATGACGCCGGGCAGTATCTCTATGAATTTGCGTTAGTAACTGCGAGATTGAAGAGATTTTGTACAGACTTTCGGGGGTACAATCGATCGCAAAAGTAGCAACAATGTCTTTGACCGGGAAAATCTAGGAATGCAAGGTTAAGACTAACTCCGTACGCGTTTAGGGCCGGAAGGTAAGCTTACGTGATTCCTCATGTCGACGCAAATGTGTGCTGGTAGAGAAGCCTGTGAAACAGGTCCCGCATATAAAAGGGGCAACCATGTCAATGGGGGTTGAAGAAGGCAATCTCAAGGATGAGTCCGATCAGCGAAGTTTGTCTCGCAATCCCGCAGCTACCGAAGTGGATATTTGCCAAGTGTGGGACTTATCCAATTCGTCAAGCAAATCCGCACCAAGAGTGGGCTTTTGCCTTTTGGCTGAGACAGCATTGACTTGATCTTTGACCCACTATGTATTTGGGTTACGTCGAACGCCTCTGAGTACTGCTCTCTCCCTGTATGTGGGTATTATCAGGTAGGGAGATTCCATCATCTTCATTTGATTCAATCGAAGGCCCTGGGTCTTCTTTAGCAGCTTCTACCCTTGGTATTTTACCGAGGGCACGCTGACTGACTGGTTCAGCAAGTTGAGATATAGTGACTAAAGAATCTTCCTCAGTATCACTGATAGGATCGAATTCATCCTCTGTTTTCCGAATTTCTTTTTCTTCTCTTGCTGCCTCGGCCTCCCGGGTAGAAATTCTATAAGGGAAAGCTGTTCGGACTCCATGTCAAACTTGATCGTACACATAGACATCATAAGATCCCTTATAGTTTCGGGTTTCAGCGAGTCTCGGCGGTAGTGACAGATATTACGAGCAGAGTTGAATAACCGCTCAACACAAGACCCACTAGCAGGCGTGGTAAGAATGTCCCGTGCTAAGCTTGCGAGGATAGGAAATTCATGCTGATGATCCTTCCAGTACGTCCGCGGGTTGACTACTTGCATACCTAGAGAGATTATTTGGAGTAACAGAAGGGATGACTGTATCACTTACTACTTTCAAGATACTGCGAAAGCTCGTCATAAGCGGTCATCTGTGGCCGGAGAGATGAGGCTGATATTAAGAGGATATCACCATCAGAGATCTCCCCTACCGAGAATTGGCTGTTTGATGTAGGCTGTAATTCCGAATAGCGCTGTTGATAAGGTACGAGGTACTCCTCGAGGCTCTTACGGTATCGCATACGCCAATTTGGCTCCCAGTCCTTATTGGGAAAGAATTCAAACTTATTTTGTGGCGCTAGGATTGTGCCGATTGCATAAAGGTCATTACCAATCTCGTCAGTCATCCTATAATATTCCGAAAGCTTCAATTTTGCCGCCCGTAGGGCAGATAGCATTACTTTCTTCCAGCCAACCTTTTTTCGCGCAAGCTGTGCCTTAGATTTCTCGAGATGAGTGAACAGGTTGTTGTAGATCGCGAAAACACTATAGATAGTGACTTCCTTTGTCTTTGAGAGAGAGGTCGTAAAGGTAAAGAAAGGTTGTGTAATTGAAAGAAGGTAATCAATCTGTCGCCATTCCTCCTGACTTGGTTGTAGCTCATAATTCTCGTATTGGGAGCAGACCTTATTCAAAACAGACTGCAGGCGCTTTGCATGTCGGAGCATTAAATACGTTGAATTCTAACGTGTCCGAACGTCTTGTATTGGAACAAGCTTTGGTTCTTTAGCCTGAAGATCAAGGAAATTCTCTCGGCGTTGGGGGCTCTTATTGAAGATTGCTAGCCGTCAAATCTTTTATGTCGTTAGCAGTGAGGACAGTAAAATAAATAGGACCTTACCTTGTTAAGGGTATGCACAATCTTTCAGTTCTCTTGCCGTATCCTACTATCTCTTTCAGTCCATTCTGTCTCTTCTCTGTCATTCCTTGGATTCACTTCTATTTTACCAAGAAGCTCTTTTAGACTGTGTTGAATAATATGTGCGATACATGGTATACGAATGATTGGTAACTGGTTAGGCACCTCGAGTGACTGGAGAGAGACTTGGATACTATCCATCAACGTTAAGTTGTTAGACGCATTATCAGTAGTAACCGTCAAGACCCGGTCTTCAATCTGATGCTTTTGAAGAAGCTCGAAGAGAACTAAACCTAGATTGACTCCAGTATGTTGCTCATGAAGGGGCTCGAAGCCTAGCAAGATCTCTCAGTAGTTCCAGTCATGGTCCATGAAATAGCCTGTGATAGCTATAAATGCCTGTCGAAAGGGTGAGGTCCAGCAATCTAGTGCAATAGAAAGCTTAGCGCCCGTAGGTAGCTCTTGAAGAAGAGTACGCTGTCTTTCTGCTACTATTTCCTGAAGTTGGTGCCGGATAATGTATGCAGAGGGTATTTCCGGGAAAGATGAAGCAAGCATATTCATTTCAAGGAGGGCACGGAAATCAGGAGACTCAACAAGCTGAAATAGCAATCGATGGGCAGTAATAAAACTTATTACCCTCTCTATCCGGACTTGCTGGGTAAAGGTAGGTTTTTGAGAGGCCAGGTATACCTAGAATTGCTTAGTTTAGTAACTACTATAGGGAGTAACAGGGATGAATAGGTTAGCATACACCGTCTTGTATTAGCCTTCTGATATCTTTTGAGTGAGGCGCTCCCTTCCGACAATTAACCCCTTGCGAGAAATATTTGTTCATAGACGATGTTCTGCGATGGCCATCCGCTGGATGATTAAGAGTATGATCGCATACTTTGCACATAACCATAGGGGCGACATTTTATATAGCCGCTACCTGGCAGAAATGCTGCCAACATTCTGCCTGGCGTTCTCATCATTCACCATTTCGGACCAGAGGACGTAGTTCTTCTGTTTCTTTGGGCCAACGCGCTGGAGGGCGTTAGGGATGATGAGATGTAATTAGCTCGGAGGCCGGGAACAACATTACCTAGTCCGTCCGAGGCTCATAATTTTCAGAGGCCACAATCCTCTTCAAACACTCAAGCACTCAAGTATCTCTGTACTCTAGGCTACGTTTTAGATAGAGTATTACTTCATTCATTTGCATCCTCCTTATAGTTTAGACCTCGTATAGCTCGGACCGATCGAACTCCATCACTCCTCTGAGCTTAACCACTTCATTGGTTATGAGCCCGGGTTTGCTGTAACCAACCAGGCACCCCGGGAGATCTGTATGGGTTTCACATCCTATATAGACTATCGATCCGAATCGAGCTGCGAGCTCTACCCTCGACGTCCTACCTACGAATACCATCGGCCAGTAGATTCCTAGCGTACTACGCTGAGTTGTGGATACGCCAACACCATATCGGATAATACGAATCGAACGGAAGAGATACCTCATCAGTTACCTCAGCGACTTGAGCTGTCCTATCAATCGAAGGCCAGTGAAAGGCCCAATGGGAAGCCATCTACAGGTAATGCGGTTATTGACCCGGGTTTAACGGTCAATAAGTTCTCAATTGAGAAGCTTTCTTAGGAAAACGCTCGTTATTGGTTTCATGTCATGGAAAGGCAATTGAAGGTTCAATTTGCCTGGCAAGCCGTTAATGGCTTTCATAAAGTGACAAGGGCGGAATGGGATCAACTGATAGATTCAGATCTGGATTGGATGAAACTAGACCTGAAGGCAAATGTCATTTTAGAGTATGATCTGACAGCAGACACGATTTTAGAGGTTAAAGATCTCGTGTTTGCTGCGGAGAAGTGGGATCATCTACGGGCTACTTATCTGAAATCTTCAGATGCAATAAAAGCAAAGCAATTGCTAAAATTGGCAAGCTGGCAGCAAACCCCTGATCAGCCGGCTAGGGAAACTTTCAGAGAAATTGAGCGAATCAATCAAGTAATAGTCGATTTGAATGGCAGTAAAACGGTCAATCTTAATGATCTAGTGGTAATATTTTTCTTTCGTGATTTGCATGCGAACTATTCGGGCTTAAGAACCACTGTGGTTGGCTCGAATACTAAATTGACAAAGAGTTTTATCCTAGACCGGGCCGATGACTTTGACAACATACCCGGAGGATTTGAAAAGGAATCAGAGAAGGGATCCTGTACCCAGGAAAAGAAGAAAAGTGTGAAATGCTTCTACTGCAAGAAAACCGGTCATTATACGAGCAAATGCCCAAGAAAACAGGACAGCAGTGACAGTGATGATAGTAATCATAGCACTAAAAGAAGGAAGGGCAAGAACCGCAGGAACGACCGGAAAAAAAATTAAAGCAAAAAGGCAGACTTGCTGCAGAGGATCGGGAGGAGCTAAGTAATTTAGACCAGGATCTGAGGATAATCACTATAGCGCGCGAGTTATTCATACTGACAGAAATATACGACTCACTGATCAGACTTATTCGAAACTGCAGGAGAGAACTATGTTTGTCAGGGAAGGCGCTTGCCGAGCTTCGGTAGATCAAGATTGGTACTTTGATAGTGGAGCTACATGTCATACAGCGGGTCAGCGAGAAATTTTTGAATATCTCGATCCCACGCGAAAGGGGACCCTTACCGTGGCAAGCGGTACGCAACTGCCTATTGAAGGGCGAGGAATTGCAAAGATTGAGCTGCCGAATGGCTCAACAGTGCGGTTAGGTATCATGTATGTGCCAGAATTGGCAGGAAATCTATTGTCTTTAGAGGCACTCCACAACGCTGATTTCGAATCAAGAGGTTCGAAGAGAGGATATCAACTTCGGAAGAATGGCAAGGTTATTACTAGAGGGAAAAGGACAGGGAACACGACATATCTTGACTGGGTAAAGCATATTGATGCTTTATTTGTCGATTCAAAGCGTTCAATGCAATATGCTCGATTGGCTCTCTCTACAGATGACGAAACAGCAAAGAGGCAGAAGCTTTTATACCGTTATTTGGGCTATCCCGGAAGGAAACGATTCAGTGAATGTATCGGCTTGATACATATAGAAGAGCTTCGGGTTAACAAGCGAGATACAATGCTTGAGAACAACTGTGAGATGTGTATAAAGGCAAAGCAAATCAAGAAGCAGAGTTACGTTCCAGTTCCTAAGGCTAAAAGGCCTTTGCAACGTGTTTACATAGACTTTTGAAAACCAAACCGAGAAGGTACAGGTGAAAAAAAATACTACCCATATCTGATTGATAATTGTACCCGATTTTTATGGCTTTTGATCATGACCGATCGAACAATCAATAATGCCAGACACCATTTTGAACTTTGGCTGCGGCAGGCTGAACGACAAGCCGGTAAAATGTTGTTAGTAGTCAGAACTGATAACGCTGCTGAATTTAAAGCTCTAGTGCCGTAAGGTAATTCAATTGGTATTGAATTTGAGTTTATCGAGGCTGAAACTCCCCCGCAAAATAGTGTTGTAGGGCCATTTAATTGTGTCATCTTAGAGATCGCGAGGGCTCTATTATTTGATAGAAAAGTCAGTCGGGCCTATTGGAAGTATACTGCTGTTACAGCAAATTACTTGCGAAATCGAACTACAAAATTGGAAGGTTCTGCGGAAGAAAGCGAAGAAAACAAAACTCTATATAAGCTATGGCATGGTCACAAACCAAAAATGACTCACTTCAGAGCTTGGGGTTACCGTGTGTTGTATCACACAAAGTCAGATAGAAGTTTGAAAGCTGTATAGATGAAAGAACATTTTTGCTATATAGAAAAAGTGATAAACAATATCTAGTACTGCTGAAAAGGGGTAGCAAGTTAAAGCTTGTCACTAGCCCTGAATTCTGTAGGCGAGAATACGGTTACTGCTCGGTATGGAATCCTACGCCTGTTGAACCCGTGGGAAGTGAACCTGTGGAGAAGGGTTCCATGGACGCCATGATGCCATTCCAAAGAACAAGCCTTGATTCAATGGAGGTTGATTCAACGCCTAGCAAGTTGAATATTGCTGGCATAGTGGATAAGCCGGTTAAACCATCAGAAACCCTAGCAGAAATGTCTACTAGTGAAGGTAGGCGGCCAGGGAGTGAGGCCATAGCGGCCAAACATGTGCTTCAGTACTTGAAAGGCTTTATAGACTGTAGGTTAGTTTACGGTACAAAAGGGAGTCAGAAGAGGGAACTTATTGCTTACTCAGATTCTGCATACGCCAATTCGAAAGAAAACAAGTCCACTACCGGTTTTGTCTTTATGATAGATGATTTACCCATTTGCTGGAATAGCCGAAAGCAGTCGGTAACAGCTCAGAGATTTACAGAAACCGAATATATCGCGGCTTCCGAAGCTGCTAAGCAGGCGATTTGGTGTCGGCACTTTCTATATGCAATTAGAAAGGAGGCTATATATCGTCGAGCTCTAACCATAATCTTTAAAGATAACCAGAGAACGATCAAGAGTGCTGACAATCCTGTCAATCACCCAAAGACCAAGCACATTGCAGTGCGATATCATGCGATTCGGGACCATGTTAATAATGGAGAGATACGGCTTGAATATCTCCCTACCGATCAATGGTTGCAGACGGTTTGACAAAGACTACCAATAAGATTAGCCAGGATCGATTGGTTAAAGGTTTAGGCCTCATCAAGACTGGTGAAGATGGTTAGATTCAACATACAGGTTTTATTGGTTGGTTTGAGCGCTCAACTCGCTCCATTCATTCGTTTTATAAAGCTTTCTGAATTCTGCGATATTGAGCGAAGGGGAGTAATGAT